AGCCACCAAGGAAAAGTATGGCTCCTGCTTTTTTGCTGCTAATATCACGGGCTGAACAAAATATGTTTCACCTTTCCAGGAACTCCTAAAATCATATTGTAAAACACATATGAAATAATCACGTCTCATAGTCTGAGTATTGATTGCAGTGCCCTGGGTTATTTTATAGTTTAAGTAAGGGATGGACATTTTCAACACTGACATTATAGCAAGATAACTGCGAGTTGGCAAAATTCAAACTCTTTATAGGTTACCACCATGGAGAGACCAATGAGTTCTGATTGTGCTCAGTAGTGATACAGTGTGGGACAGAGTTGAAAAAATTGGGTTGAGGGTGGTTTTGAGATAAAATGCCTGGCTGATACCATGAAGAAGAATACTCCCAAGAGGGAGGGGAGATGAAGCCAGATTGCATTGCTTTGTTACAGATGCCACTCATACATGTTTATTTCAGAGTAACTCACAATATATGACGCACAGTATGGTGGAGTCAAACATAAAGGAACAGAAATGTTGCACAAAGTGAAGCAGCAGACGTGCGGTCTCATGGAAAGAGGAGGGATTTGTTAGCTATTTATTATTGTTGTGTTTTTACTGCTGGAAACAAGGAAATGTGCCGGTAGGATTTTCCACCTTGGTGCCAAAGTAACTTGACTGCCTTTGAGGGTTGTGCGTCTTGACCTGAATGAGTGGAGGGGAGCATAGTTTATGGGCCTACCTCATGCGGCAAAATGTATTAGACCAGCTCTTTCTGAAGCACCCAAACACAAAAGCCCCAATGCCAGTTTCCTTTTTATGTTTTGGCACAGGGAGACACACACAAGAGAAAGGGGTGATTTGGAAACCCAGGCATAAATAGCTCTTCAGCAGCAGTTTTTAGAACCTACAATTTTCTTTGCCATATTCCCTCCTCCAGAAACCTCACTGACCTCTATGGAAGCCTTCCCCACTTCTTTCTTTCTTTATTTATTTTGACAAAGCCATGTTAAAGAACAAGTTGAAAATGACTTTGTGTTGAGCCAGCTTGACCATTGCAAAGGAAACGACAGGCAGCCCAGAAGGTTGCAGTCTGTAGACAAAACATTGAGGGTTTTTGTTTGTTTGTTTGTTTAAATGCGTCCTTGTAACACAAAGGTTAAGTGCTGTACACATGACCACCCACCTCATTAGATACTGCAAGACTCATTTTCAGTCCCCAGAGTTGCCCACTTGGACACATACTGTAGCTCTTGCTTTTGAGGTGTTTTGCAGACATAAAGAGACTCTAAATGTCATTCAGTACCAACATCATTAATAACTACATGATTTATAGTAACTTTTTCAAGGGTTTTCTGGATATTGAATACACAGAAGTTTACAATTCCCTCCCTCTGAGGGCATCTTACAGTTTTGCCCCAGGCTACGTAAGCTGCCTCTTCTCCTGAAACACACAGTGGGGAATCAAATTCCCAACCTCTGGCTCCTCGGCTTAACTCACTGAGCTGTCCAGCCAGCTAGGGGATGTTTGCACATTAAAAGTGGAGCAGTGGCAGCTGTCATCATTGTCACTCATACATATCAGCTGGGGATGTTTGCACATTTAAAATGGAGCAGTGGCAGCTGTCATCATTGTCACAGTAGCAAGTAGAGCTAGCCCTAGATAGCTGAGAACCAGAGAAAGGAGCATGTTTTAGAGCTAATTTCATCAATATGAGCTTTCAAATACTCTCCTTTCTCCCAGTCTCAGCTCATATCTGCAGTGCTTCTTAGCCTTGGGTCCCTAGATGTTCTTGGACTACAACTCCTAGAAATCCTGGCCAGCATAGCTAGTGGTGAAGGCTTCTGGGAGTTCTAATTCAAGAACATATGTGGACCTAAGGTTGGGAACCATTACTCTAAAGATATCTGTACTTGCTGCTACTACTATGACAAGAACAACCGACACAGCCACACTTTTATTATGCAAATAGCCCCAGATGGAGTTGCCTGTCTCCATCTGCACAGTGTGCTTCCAATTTAGGGGTCTCCCTTGCAAGATCAGCTGCATGCTACTGACCCTCAGTGCCTTACAGAAGGCTAGGCAGTTCATGGAAGGTGGTTTAATAAGCAAGAGCTATATGTTTTACTCATCTATTGCCTTCTATTTGGACGTTCAGTACTAATACAGAGTGAAGTAGATGCTACTTTGTAGATGTAGGAAAACAGCAGGAAAATTGGAGTGCAGATACAGAGAGATGCCCTGGTCCATCTCAAAGGATGCTCTGTAACATGCAGCCAATGATCCAAGATAAACGGAATGCTGGTTGCACTGTGCAAGCTCTAGCTAAAACACAGCTTATTGACAGATAGATTGTGTTGCTACTTAAGCTGATGAGATGACAGAGATTTAGCATGCTTTGCTGCAACATGATCACATTGATTTCCAAGGCACTAGAAGCCATTGGGGATTGTAGATGAAGTATCTGAATGGAAACCCAAAATTCCCATATGATGTCATCTAGCAGGTACTAGAGTGGATTATAATGTAAAGATATATGGGATTGTTTCATTTTAACAAGAGGGGAAAAAATAATTTCACCCAGGTACAAAAGGTTTGCAAAATAGCCACCAATTGCTTGAATTCAGAATAGATACACATGGGATTATGCCTGAATTTGATGCCAAGAAGGAACAAGTTAAGAAAATGTCTATACATTTTTTCAGCAGAACAGAAATAAGAATGTATGATGGCAATTAGGAAAAACCAGTCTATGCCATGAGGGAAAACCAGTCTATGCCATGTAAGTAGACTGGAGTTAGAAGCTACCATATATAGGTGACTGCTCCGTTCACATTCCTTTCCCCCTTTGTCATGCATTCTACAACCATGTTCTGATGATGGATGGGCCATTCTAAAATTGTAATTCCTTAGGAGTGGGCAGGGTGATGCATTTTAATAATGTTTGTGCGCAGGGCTCCCTCCCACTCCTTTGTGCATTTCCCCCCTGGGGGGGGGCTTAGATGCTTGCTTCCATTGATTAAAGCACACTTGCTCCCATTTAGAAGCATGCAGTTTTTCTCTGTGCATCTTCAAAATGTTCAGGAGCATATTTTTTTATTCTTCAATAAGATGCATCATGAGCCCAGAAAGTTATGAATTTCATACCATAGATTGCACCTGTATCCAAGCTCACTTCTAAAAGATTTTATACAATTAGGGAGGAAAAATGCTACAGTGTGTATGTCTCCACACATACCTACTCTTAACGTCATCACACTAAACATTGCTCAATTATTGGTCCATAGTGTTTTAACACAAATTCCCCCTAAACCCATGTTTTTTAAAACTATTTGCCAAAGAAGTCTGTAATTTGTCAAATCAGAACCAAATTACAGCAACCCTAATAGAGCTTTCAAGGCAAGAGAGCAGGGGGTTGGATTTAATGGCCTTATAGTCTCCTTCCAACTTAATGATTATAAAATTCTATGAATGGCTTTACCAGTTCCGTATCCTCTGTGAGTTTTCATAGTTGAGTTGAGCCAGGCCTTCTGGCTCCTAGGTTGTCACTCTAGCCACTATACCACACTGGGTATCCTAGTCTGGTGCTCTGTAAAAGCTGGTCGGTTGGAATTCTAAGATGAGAAGGTCCATAATGGCAAAAAAAGTTAAGAAAATGACTGCATGCCCCCCAAATGTATTTTTATTTATTTATTTATTTTATTTATATCCCGCCTATCTAGTCGGTTAAGACCACTCTATGCATCTGCTCTGGCTTTTCCCCTGCATAGCACATAAGAAGAACCCTGTTGGATGAATCCAAAGACCTGTCCAGTTCAACATTCAACAGTAGCCAATCAGTTGCCTGTCAGGAGCTTGCTAGTGGGAGATGACCACAACTGCATCGTATCTCACATTCTCTGACAAATGATATAAAGGGATGTTGCCTCTCCTACTAGTGATGATAATATAACCCAAGTATTGATGGGTGTATGTAGCCCCATTGTAAAGCTGTTCAGGTTGGCATCCATCATGATATCTTGTGGCTGTTAATTCCACAGTTTCAATTATGTACTGTGTTAAGAAATATATTCCCATTATCCTACTACATCTTCCACCATTCCTCTTCAGTGGATGACCCTTGGTTCTAGAATTATGACAGAGGGAGAAAAACTTTGCCTTACCTTCTTATTTCATGCCATGCATAATTTCATATGCCTCTATTATGTCCTCCCTACTTGCTTTCTTTAACAGCTGAACAGTCCCAGATATTGCAAGCTTTTATTGTAGGGACGTTGCTCCTTACTGCAAGGAGTGGTGGATGCATTCTAAGCTAAATATTCAGTCCACTTTGATTGATGGTTAGAAGCAGTAATGTTCGTCATTGCTTAACATGATATGTTTCGTTCTAAAATAATCTGTAGCCAACAGGAGAGATGGCTTGGCATAGTGGAAGGTCCTTTGATGAATGGAAACTTGAGCTCCATTGGTCTCAGTCATAATTCAGTTACACTGTCTTGTGTTGGTATATTTTTCTTTTCAAGCAATAAAGGTAAAGGCCACTGTAATAGACCAATGCAGCAACAATAATTACTACTACCACTATAATCAGTATGGTACTTTTCAGTGTTTAAAAGAGTTTGCACACACTATTATTCATCCTTACAATAGCGACTGCTAATATTCTTTTCTCATGTTGCAAATTCACAGTATTTTCATGACATTCCATCAACTTGCCTGTTCTATTGCAAATTGCTATGGGTGACATCGAGCTGGTGTCCCTTTGCTATGGAAGGCAGCTGTTAAAGACTTGGTTTTCAAGGCTTTGCCTCCCTCCCAGACCTCCATGCCATACAACCTAGAGCAGACTGGGGTGGGGGAATGAGAGGAGATTGCTGAAAATCGCCTCCCTAACCTGTTCCACTGATGGGAGGAGAAAAATCAAAGGGCTATTACCCTGTATTACAAAACAATGGCTTTACATGTTATTTATTTGTTTGCTTTTGTTTTATATTAACTACCTTTTCTTTTTCTTTTCTTTCAGGCCCTCCTGTAAGTATAATTCGTGTCTGTGTGAGCCATAAAGAATGCATCTCATAGTAAAGGTACCGGGTGCTCAGGGAAGTGGGGAACTGTTCTGAAATGGTGGAATATGGGCAGAGTTCTCAGTTGATAAGGAAGACGCTTGCTGACACTGAGTTTCACAGAAGCATCAAGTATGCCATTTGTACCTGTTTTTTGTATTCTACATTTTCGGGGGGACCAAGTGTTTTGTTATGGGAATAGAAGGAACTGTTTGAGGCTCTCCAGAGCTTACCTAGTCATTATTCATGTGTTTGTTTATTCATTATTATTTTTTTTAAAAGCCCTTTGCCCTAGGAAAATTTGGATGAAGACTGATAGAATCAAAACAACAAGTCTCAGCTTTTCTTGTTGGGCTTACCACATACTTGTGTCTCTGAGAAGGTTTTTGCAGCAAATTCCTACTGCCTAAGTAGTTTTACTCAATCCAGATGCCGCAAAACTGCCTGGCCAGAGACAAGCCAAGCTCTTGCTCTACCTTAGCAGGAGAAGAAGCACTGATGCTGCTGCTCCTTTTCAATTCTCCAGTGGTATCTCAGGCTAGATATCTCAGATAGATGATATCTCAGGCTACCCTTCCCTCAGTTCTTGGCCTTTATTGCTTTCTGTAGTTGGCATTGCTGTCCACTGTGCTGACCTCCACTCTCCAAGTAAGACAGAGGGCAAGCAATGATGACGGGGATTGCTACCGCTGCCCATTTCTCTAGAGGAAGGCTTTTTGGAATGGAAGTGCTGACCTTCCAGTGATTTGTCATAGGTTGTGCTCTTAGGGCTGAAGTAGGTGCCTTACCCTACCTTCAGGGAGGGAGGGAGAGTCTGAGCACGGGGACAAGAGGTCATGCCATAAGCCACTTTGGAAAAATTTAGTAGCCCAATGCACAAACGTCTGTGCAAATGCATGACTTCTTCACACTGACGCCATGTGCGCAGTTGGTTGAAGCTGTGGTTGGCATACATGTTTACTTACAGCTGGCAAAGCTAGTGAGTGCAGTCCTGCTCTACTCTCGCGTGCCTGCGAACACGTGGAAAGGGAATTGTTGCCCACTCCTAAAAAGTCAAACCATTAATCCATCTACAAATTGCTGTGTGTTCTAAGAGAGCCCCAGGTAGCAGATAGATTTGTCACCTGAAGTACTTTTTAACAGGTCGAACCTCATACCTTCTGCATGTGCTATGGTTTCTTGTGAAGCATTAAGAGGAAATTAATATATGTGTTATTTTTTCTGGAGGGTGTTGAAAGAAATGCAGAGCTTGTTGTGTGATACTTATCAATTGCATGTGAGATATAAAACATTGAGCATAAACAAACTGACTGATTTGAATTAAATACTTAGATGTTTTGTGTCATAAGCATTATAACAGTTGTTTTGCTGCAGTTTAAGCAGTTACTTTGCTGTTTGAATATTGATTGATTGATTGATTGATTGATTGATTGATTGATTGATTGATTGATTGATTGATTGATTGATTGATTGATTGATTGATTGATTGATTGATTGATTGATTGATTGATTGGCTGACATGTTAGGTTGGGCATTGTTTTTCTTTTCCTGAAACCAAGAGTGCTTTGAAATGACCATTTTACTGTATAATCACCTTGCCTCGTGTGCAGGATTTTATAAGGGTCCAGAAAATGTTGTCTTCCATTTGTAACCATCCTGTGTCTTTCCATCATTTTATCCTGTGTTACAAAAAAACCTGTTAAAATAGAATTGCTACATAATGCTTTTTAAATGCTAGCATTGGGAGGTCCTTGTCTGGAAGAGCTTCTAACTGATGAGCATATTGCACAACTTCTAGTGTGTTCAGAATTTTATTTTATTTTATAAATCAATTTGTTTTAAATATATTACGTTGTATTACATATATAACGTTATTTATAATAATTTATTTAATCCATTTGTAATAATTTGTCTGATCCATTTCAAAGTGGTTTACAATATAAAATAGTAAAATTCAATGTCAACAAGTTAGAAAATTCCCTAAAATTTAAACATGTATTAAACATACTGTAAATAAGCCAATTAGAACACAACACAGTAAAACAGAACACAGCTGAAATATGTAGCAGCAACAGCAAATACAACCCCTTTCCATTCAAAACCAAAAGAAGATAGGCATGTTTTCAAAAGCATTTAACAATAGCCATAGAGGAATCATGTTCAGAAGAAATTCTGTAGGAGGGGACCCAGCACTAATAAGGTCCTCTCTCTATTGCTTGCCAACCCTGCTGATCTTGGTTATGAGCTAGTGAATACTTCCCCCCTTCCCAACCTGACTGCCGAAAATCTTGAACTATGCACAAGTTCATTTAGGTATAGATAGTCCTTATAACCTGAGCTCAAACTATGTAGAGTTAATATAGATAGACAGTGCTTTGAATGGGTAGCATAAATGCAGCAGAAGCCAGTGCAATGTGCATATGGGTGACAATTCAGTCCAGGCAATTAATGGCTTTCCAGATTTGCATTGGACAGTAGTTCTTACATCTTGAGTGACAAAATGACATTTGCAGCATCCCGCTGCCTAGAATAGTTGTTGTGCCCCCTAAGCCATTTCTAGCCAATTGTTTCATGAAACAACACCATAATTAACGGCAGTGTATACCTTTGAGGTATAGAAGAACTAACAGAGTTGCACTCTTCCTGTACTCTTACTGATACAACTCATTTGCTACAGAACCCAGGTTGTTTCTCTTCCCAAACCAGTCCTACACCAAGTTGGAGTGGATCTAAATAGCTGATATCTTTCAAGACTACCTGCATGTGAAAGGCCATTTGAAATCTCACCCCTGAAACTCGCTTACCAAAAGAACATTTGACACAGGATGGTGGTGATCACAGATTGTAACATCTCAGTTTGGCCTTTTAGCAATGATGTGATAAGTGCCACATCATTAAGGATAACAAGGAACACTCCTTCTCACAGAGAAGTATTTGTTACACCTAAAGCCAGATGCCCAAGCCTATCCTGGAAGATTTTTTAAAGCTAGGATGAACAAGGGTTTAGATCAGTGGTTCTTAACCTTTGTTACTTGGATGCTTTTGAACTGCAACTCCCAGATACCCCAGTCAGGATAGCTGGTGGTAAAGGCTTCTGGGAGTTGCAGTCCAAAACTCCTGAGTAACCCAAGGTTACGAACCAGTGGTTTAGATTATAGCTGGTAGGACTCAGTCTTTCTAGAGGTTTGTCCATATCCTCAGGTTACACAAGTTGAAAAGTATCCATAACAAGAGGACTAGACAATGTTCGATGTGTATATCTCTCTATTCAAAGGTTTAAAATAATCTATCTAGTACGTTTATGAAGGATTTCTCCATTTCATGTTAATTGCAATGCTCCCCACTTCCACACAAAATTTTTGACTGTGGATCTGTATGCAGTATCTACATTTCTGAACTATTCCAGGATCCCAAGCAAAATGAAGGCCTCTTAGTCTCATAACTTTAATTGACAGACAAAGAGGGGAGAAATAACATAGTGTCACAACTGTGGCATGTTTACTTTTATCATTAGGAACATTTTGGCAACGGTATTCCAAAACAGAAAGGTTGTATTGTTTCTTGGCATTGCTAATTTGAGAATAACAGTTGGAATGGGTATCCTTAATCATTTAGTACAACCCATGTGTGCGCGCGTACGCACACATGCACACAGAGAGCTTTGCCTCAAACCATACCCAACAACCTTTTTTTGTTCGGTGTTTGGATATCTCCATTGCCATAAATATGACCCACCCTAAAAAGAATCTATCTGGCCTGGCTTGCAAGAAGAATGATTTCGTATTGTAGGAGCATGTACATATATTTATATATTGTCTATCTATCACATGTGTATCCTGCCTATCCTTTCAGGACATCAGGTCAGCTTACATTAAAACCTGACAGCAACTTTACAGGCAACACACTGAAGCAATATCATTTTACCAAAGATACGCTGCAAGTTCTTGGGATGATTGGGTGTTTTGAACCTAGTTTCCTTTGTCCAATTCTAATGTTGGACAGAAAGAGAGAGAGAGAGAGGAGAGAGGGAGAAGGAGAGAGAGAGAGAGATTTGAAATATTAAAGCAATAATCTCAGGCAAATTGATAATCTGAGTTCATCAGTCAGAGAACTCTTTTTACAGGTGCATAATACATGTCACATTTAATGATTCTTGAACACCAGAAGAAAGTGCATTCCATAAGGTGGACATCATCATGGAGGAAGCCTACTACTGACTTACAACCAGATGGCAAATTTCCAGTTCACATTAAAAACAAGGCACAGACTAAATTGCAAATGGTGACCCACCAGGTAACCTGCAAGCAACGACACTGATCTTGGCTTGTCATCCATAGAAAATCACAGGAAAGTGGGACTTACACTTGCATCCTGAGTATGTTTAAAATTATGCCAGAAGGTCTTTTGAGTAAGGTTCCCCCCCCTCTCAAATATAGGGCTGGGCGTCCTCACCTTTTGGTTACAACCATTGCACCTGTTTGCATGGTTCTGGTTCAGACAACAAAAGCAAGAAGGAATGCTTCCTGTCCATGCTGCAGAACCTTCTTGATAAGAGGTGTTGAAGAAAAGTTAGCAGGTAGAAGAATGGAGTACAGGGATGGACCTTTGACAATAAGGATTGAAGTAATGTCTGGATAGCTGTGAAAGAGGGGAGTCAGGTTAAATTAGGGGGTTAGAAGTATTAATTATCATTCGATATCAAATGGGTATGTATTCTAGCTGTTATTTTCCATTAATAGCTACAGTATATTTAAGATTTCACTTCATGAATGAACATACTCCGTTTGAATCACACCTCTAAACATTTAAAAGGGAGAGCCCTACAGCTCTGTTTGAGGCAGTAGATGCTGTCAGACAATTGTTTGGGATAGTCACAGTCCAGTAGAGAGGATGAGTGAATTAAACAATGGTCACTTGGGGCACAGACCCTTTTAGAGAACCCTAGGTTAGATATCATTGTGGGTTATTGATGCCGGATAACCTCTGCATAGAAATGCACATTTTAAGAACACTCTGGTGGATGTAGGTAGTAGAATTGGATCGTAGGTTATCTATTGGGGGTGTGGGAATTTAGTGAGCTACATATTCTTTCTTTCTCTAGGAAGCTCAAAGCAGACTGTGGCGAGTCAGATCACTAGTCTAGATTGTCCGTTTTCTTCTTTGATGGGTGATGCTTTGCCAGAGGGTCCAACAACTCCTGGCTATGTGTTGTATGATAATTTAACTGGAAATATCAGGGACTGAGCCTAGGTCTGTATATATGCAGAACACATGCTTTGCTAACACTGAAGAATGGAATTGCCTCTTCACAAATTCAGTTATATTTGGATTATGTCTCACTACCAGTTCAATCCCCCCATGTTCTTTGTGCCAACATCTCCTTTGCTATGTTTCCTTTCAGGGTCCTACAGGAAGACCTGGGCTTCCGGTAAATATCCCCTACTTTTTAAATGTATTTTTCACTTTTCTCCTTCATGTCCAGTTGCTATATAGGGGGTGCTTCCAGACTTTCTTTTATTGTGTGATCACCCTGCCCCATTCCAACTTTGCCAGCATTTAAACACCGAAAAAGAAAAGAAAGAATAGCTAGATAATGAAATACTTCATCACCTATCATAAAGTAACATGCTGTGAAAAGATGTGAATGGGCCAGCTGGCCCTCAATACATATGAATGATATGCTCTGATGTCAGGACACTAGGACTGTTGGGGTGGGTGGGTGTGAAAACTTAATTTTTTAATAATCATTACAGCTCCCAGAATACCCCAGTCAATATTGCTACTGACCATACTGAGTAAGGTATTTGGGAAGCTTTAATCTACAAAGTATATTTCCTACATTAAGTACATTTTTAAAAAGTGTTACTCAGCGTTCTCTTCAACACAGAATTGTATTCCTAGATGGCTAAATTATATCCCAAAATCTGAGGTTAGCTAACACTTTATTAGGGTCATTCAGGGAGTTTGGAAAGTGAATGTGAAGAAGAATGAGTATAACAACATTCTAAAGCCACCCATAACTTAGCAGTGGGTCTTAGAGCACCATCTAATGTCTGGTCCATAATAATTGGCTTCACATTACATTAGTTCTTTCAAAGGGACCTTTCCCAGGTATTGCAACGAAATGTTCACAAAAGCAGTTATGGGAAGAAATGGAAGGTGGGGAAAGGTTGACCTGACATTGAAGCGATGAAGTCTGCAGGGTCAGAGAAAAGGCACGGATTTTAATGGATTAAGCACTATCAGATATCACAAAGGTTGCAGCTGACCTGTCTTGTTCCAGTGTTATAGGAGGTCGAGTTAATTAGATTTTACAGTAGTCTGGTTTAATTTCCTCAAGGAATTTGAGCACAAAATCCATTGAATAAAATGTACCAGCTTTGTGTATTGGAATTAGCCCAAGCCAAGCAAAGGGAGCATTTAATGGAGAGAAGAGAGAACCCTTCTGCCCACATCCAGACACCGGCATTATAGGAAGTTCTTGCTCATATTTATAAAATAGGTAGCAATTTAATAAGGTGCATTGTATTAGTCATTCTTGTGATCTATGTCAGGTATGGGGAATTTATGGGCCTTTGTTGGATTGCAGCTGCCGAAATATTAGACCACTTGCTATATTGGCCAAGGCTGGTGGGTGGTGGAGTCCAACAACATCTGGAGGGCCCTGGGTTCCCAATAAATTGGACTATAGAGTTTAGTGTTGTCTCTGGGAGCAAGTCAATTGTGCCCCTAATTTTAATACCTTCAAGAAGTCCTCAAAATTTTATTACCTTAGATCCCTTTTGCTCTTTGGTGTACCTGGAGCCTCAAACATGGCCTGGCTGCTGTAACGCTACTGGTCACTGATAATGGGACGGCTGCTTCCTTTTGCCTTGCTTGTTCAGGGATGGTCCAAAACATTTTGCATCCATGGGACAGCACCCATACAGAGAGCACTTCAGAACACTGTGGCATAACAAAGGTGACAACAAATTAAATAATAGATTGTTTGCTGGCCATTAATGTCTGAAATCTGTTGCCCGAAAAAGCTGCCTTGGTGTATCTGATGAAACAGGTAGCCTTGCTCTTATTTTATTTTATTTTATTGAGACAACAGAAATTGTTCAAATTATCCACAGGAAGGACATGAGGTAGAGGGTACTGAATGCATGTCCATCTTTTCCTATTTCTCTCTTTCACGAATACATCTCTACATAGATCCAGATCCCACATTGCAGAACAAGGCTGCATGAATGTCACAGCAGGAGTCAAAATAATGTTCAAGTGGGTTTAGAAAAGAAGAATCATTTGTTCCTTCTTTTACCATTTATTGGCTCTCTGTATAGGAACTAAGAGCCACCATTTCTGGTGCAACAAATAAAGAGGCAGCAGGCCTACATTCTGGAGCTTGGCACAATTATTTTCATAGACTTACTCTCCCAAACAACATGGGAGAAAACCAATTGTTTGTCCCCACCAAATTGAATCAATAGGACTATTTGAGTCTAAGTTATCCAATGGGTTTCTTGTGGCTGGATCTAACCTTACGTCTGCAAAGGTTATTTGTTTTTTCCTGGCCTCAGTACCACTTGTTTCTGAGGTAATACATTTTCTTACCAGTATCCATTTTACTTCCTAGGAAGGAAGCTCTTGTGGGTGGCAAGAAAAAACAATAACACTGAGAAAAATATTGAGCAACAGTGAAACAGGAGGAGAGCTCCAGTATTATCAGCCATAACCTGTTGGAAATAGCCTAGGGCAGCTCATGCCATCCCTATAGATGTGTGCTTGTGTGTTTGAACCACTTATGTAATCTGGTCATACTCACAAGGGGCACTCCACTCACAATGTGCCTGCATTGTGTTATATGAGCCTCTGCTGCTTCAGCTGCTTCCAACATTACTGGCTACAAACAAACTCCTTTCTCAGCTAATGCTCAGCATTGGTGGTAACTTATGGCTTCCTCCACACTTTGTTTACAACAACTGCTGGAATAGATTGATCTTTTGCAGCAGTGCCTGCTTCCCCTCCTGGTGGACGTGTGACACAAAATTAGTGATCAACATAATTTCATGGTCCAACTGCATTTGCTAAGAAGGGTCGTAAGATCTCTTTTTAATGGATGTAACTCCCCAGCCTATTTTTAGTTCCCCTTGATGCAGAACAACAGCAGTAAAGGATGTAAACCCTTTTTAAATCTCGACATTCTTCTTTCCCCTTTGAGTCTGTATATTTTTAATAATTTTAGGTTAATCAGCATAGATTAGAATTAAACCTGCATGGTGCCTATCACTTTTCACAGGATTTGTAAAGATATACTGAATGCTAATCTGTACAAAAACTAGGTATTAGTGATAGTCAGTTGACACAATGGATCATGCAGAATATACCAAGGGTATTCTAGGATTGATCCTTTTATGAAAGGAATTAGGACGTGATTGACACCACAAGCTAGTTAACACTTGATCCACAGGAAAGCTAAGGAGTCTTTCTACATGAAATGTTGTTGCTGCAAAGAATGCACCACTATTTCTCAGTGCAAGTAAGGAAGTGTAACATTGGAAGATAGTGGTTGTTGTGGGTTTTTTGGGCTTCTTGGCCGTGTTCTGAAGGTGGTTTTTCCTAACGTTTCGCCAGTCTCTGTGGCCGGCATCTTCAGAGGACAGCAAACTGTTTGCAGCAAAATGTTAGGAAAAACCACCTTCAGAACACGGCCAAGAAGCCCGAAAAACCCACAACAACCATTAGATCCCGGCCGTGAAAGCCTTCGCGAATACATTGGAAGATAGTATTGTTGTTATGTCCTGCCAAGTTGCCTTTGACTCATGGCAACCCTATGAATGAGCAATCTCCAAAATGTCCTCTCCTCAGCTGCCCTGCTCAGCTCTTGCAGACTCAAGCCTGTGGCTTTGGGCAGAAATAGACATTAGGGAATAGACATTAGACATCTGTGGCTCTCCAGATGTTGCTTGATTCCAATTCTCATCACTTTGGGCCATTAGTGAGGAATTATGGGCATGATGGTTCTCAATAACTGTATATAAGGTACATCAGTTTTAGGCAGTGGAGAACGTAGGATAGCAAAAGAGATTTAGGATTCATCTTTTGAGACCCAGGGATAAAGAGCTTTCAGCTTGAGGAAGCCAGTTTAGATGTCTCCTGCTTGAAAAGATTAGGGAAGGATCAGACCAAGCTTAAAGGTAATTTGCATCCAAAGCTGGTTAATTTTGGAAATATAGTCCTCTTTTGTAATTTACAAGCACAATGAACCACCCAACCTACAGCCCTGAAGGCATTCCCTAAAATCTTAAGGGAAGAAATGAAAATATAGAGCCTCCTTATTTTATCCTGCTGTGAAGGCCATGCCACTTTGCCAACAAATACTAAAGAAGCATGCAGACCACCAGTCAGGCAGACAATGTTGATTTGTTAATTTATAAAGACTGTGCCAGTGCACTGTGAGGGTCATAAGCATTACCCAGTAGTGGATGTATTTCTTGGCATCGTATATGCATCCTGCTCTCACTAAATACCAGTTGTCTATTCTCTACGTCATCAGCACAGCTATATGTACTCTGGGATGTGGTTCCACAAAGGGACCGAATGTAGTATAAGATACAGAATGTAGTTCTTGATCACTCTCAGCTTTCAGTTCTTTTTAATATATATGAAAACTTCATGTTTCTAAACCTTATGGTTGCAAAAACATGTTTGAGTGTTTGTGTGTGTGTGGGGGGGGTCATGCATCCTGAAATCACAGAAACTGTGAGGATTGCTATTTAAGTAGTTGTGGGGGGGGGCGATCCTTTAGCAGTTTTTGTGAATCCATCTCTAAGCATGAGTCACAAGATGATAATAATTAAGGTAAACTTTTCTGCAGAGGAAAAGGATATGCTTGATCTGTTCTGCTAGAAAGAGTTAGTGTTTTTTAAAAGCAGGGAAAGGTGCCAGCTAATATATCATACAACACCATGCTCTCAGATCCATGGTTGTGGGTGGGCCTGGGGAACTCTGGTCCCCTGAGAAATATTTCAAATCCGGTTCATAAACTTTTCATTTTTAGTAAAAGAACAGAAGTAGGTCTCTAATCCTTTGGGTGGCAACCACTTGGGGACAAACGTGGAGGTAGAATTCTGCACAGTTGCTTAGTAAGAAATATCTCTAGTCTCTTCTTCTAATGTTATGGTCAATGCAAGTAAGAACACTGAGATGGCTGACAAGATCATTGATGTGTACCTTACAATGTTATTAAGCTTCTTACTTCCTGACATTGTTTAATACTGTATTAAATAAGGGACTGTTTGTATCTTAGTTGGTGCTTGTTTTGTTTCTGTACTGATTTACCATTGCTCCTTACCATCACTCCATTATTAACAGCATTACTTGCATGGCAGTCAATACTCTGAGAAGTGGTAATGGATAGTTAGCCATCAACATAACTCAACTCTTGGCACTACCAATTCAAAAACATAAAATATTTCTCGAACTGTTTTCAGACAGCAAGCAGCAGAATATATGATATATATTCTAAAAAAAGATTCCACAATTCAGCGGACATTGAGAACAGTAGAAACTAAACTACCGTCTTATTTCCCTGAGAATCAGTCCCACTGAACTCATTGGTACTTATTTTGACTGGACATGAATAACATTGTACTGTTAGTCTCTAGCTTATAAAATATTCTTAAATTAACTGATTTCTGTGTGTCTTATTTTTGTCACCTTGGACAAAATTATTTTTAAAATGACAGAAATGATTTTTAAATTAAGTAGTAGAAAAACTCTTAAAACGTGATTCCCATTAGCAACACCTGGAGCATTTTATGGAAACTTTTAATGCCATCATGAAAGTAAGAGTGGGAAGTGGAGTAAGGTTATAGATTCCTCTGATATTTCCACCACATGCACATTTCAAATAAACTTCCTGCTCTGTGCAGGATTCTTCGCTACAAACACATCCTGCTTTGTGGGGGATAACTTGAGAGTAAAAAGTCCAGCAAATGGTGTGTAATTCAAACAGCTTCCCACATGATGATCAAAAGACCATTTTTGCTTTTTATGTTCAAAACTACAAAACTGATAACAAAGATAATATGTCATCCTGCAAGTTTACTAAAGAGAGAATAGGGGTAAACAAGTCATATTGTTCCTAGTAGTGAGTGACAAACATTGTATCACATCCTATATGTTCATGTGCACCAGGACTTGGGAAGCTGTGGTCTTCTTTTTATTGTTGGACTTAATTTCCTATCAGTCCTAAGTAGCTTGACCCCTGGCAAAGCCTGATGGTAGTAGTCATTCATCAAAATACAGAGGACAAATATTTCCTATCATCTGCAATACATCACTAACAAGCTCCATCTTTCCATAAACCAGTCCATTGGTTGTTGCCTCTCCCTGACCCTCACTAATCTGATAAGTATAGCCATATAAGCCATTCCTCATGTTTCATGTCTCACTCTTCCAGTGCTGGAGGACTGGTCTTTGTCCATTGCTTACTGATTGCCATATGTGCTGCCATTAAAAGCAAATCCTGTTGCTTAGCATACTAAGTCACATTGGTGTAAACTGATTGAATCAAGTGGGGGGTTAGTGAGCCCATTGGTGTAAACTCATTGAATCAAGTGGGGGGTTAGTGAGCCCACTCTTCCCTTGGTTCCTTTGATTCAATTGGGCCTGCTCTAACTGTGACTTAATTTAGCAGTCATAGTTATAGTAAGGCCTGTTTAAATCAATATCACTTAGGGAGGAGTTGACTCAACAAATCCCCATTGTTTCAGGGGGACTAGTCCAGTTTGATTTACTATGCTAAACAACAGGATTCTGGTCAATATGAAACCATTTCAATACAAGCTATAGGCAAGGAGGTTCTCTACAGTGGTCTTTGTGCCTTACACAAATTGGTTTAATGACTCTCATGGAAAGTTCTATAGCTGAATATTCTAAATTTTGGCAGTAGACCTCCCAGCAGCCTGCACCACAAGTGTCACCCTGTTTTAATATGCCTCATTCATCAGCAGTCCTGCTGATCCCTGTCAGTTCCTCCCCCCCGACCCTGTTAGGAGCATCTCTGGAATGTGTATCCTCTTTGCTTTGCTCAGTAGCACTTCTCTTATTTTGAATTTTAAAATAAGTGTCAATAACATAAGATTTTTTTCCAGCTAACTATTAGTTAAACTTCTTTTGTTGTTGTTTTTTATGTATAATTCACTCTTTGTCTTTTTGAGGGTAAAATTGGCCAGTGCTATGTTTATCATTTCTGAGAGGATACTTGACACAAACTGTACCTGCAGGGGATACACACTTTTTTAAAAAAAACTTCAAAAAAAGAGAGTATAGAAGAGAGTATAGACTTTTTCCTGGGAAATTCTCTCAAGATGGCTGACCAGGCAGCTCAGAACCTCCTCTACACAGCATCGGTCTCTATCACAAAGAAAATAATATGTCCCCCTGAAGTAGGACTTCTCTTGTCTTTGTCGTTAATGGAGTCTTCTTCAGCTTGTTCTTCAATACAAATGCCCTTGGTATCAACCCTGACTCTGAAGCCCTTGATACAAAGTTGTACTCCCTTGATGTCAAAGCCTCCTGCATAAGAAAAAAACTGTAGTAAAAGTCCAACAGAACAATGCAAACCACATTCATCTTGTGCCATGCTGGCCCAATTAACAGTGGTCACCACATTTAGCATCTCATCCGAGTCTACCCAAGCAGTATGATGGAGAAGTCAACCATGCCTTTCTTTTGACTTTGTGAGCGTTATGAGCATGTCACATTTACCCACAATATCCCTCGCAGCAGAGATACAGTACTAGACATGTTTTTTTTTCCCCATCCCTACACAAGAAAGTGATATTGCTCCAAGCATCAGGCTTTCTGGTCTTTTTTTGCACCCTGTTTCCATATACCTCATTCATCAGCAGCACTCATGTCTCATTCCCTCCCCTATCTGTATCAGTGAAGGCTTTTTATGTCATCCCTGAAAATCTGCCTTGCTGCCCATTGTGCTCAATAACCACAATCTCCAGTCCACCATTTTTCTTAAGTGACTCCATGGTTTGGAAGTTTTTTAAAGGGTCAATAAGCTTTGCCTGCCTTACTTGACCATCTCTGCTCCCTCGCCCTTTTTAGTAATGCCACTGTGACTGGAGTTTGTTTACAGTGGATATTGCTCTCTTGGTCTTCACGGCATCAGCAAGACAAGTAAGTGAACTGTGTGCCCTTCATGCTGATTTTCCAAACCTGGTTTTTGACAGAGGGAAAGTTGTCCTTTACCCAGGTATTTCCTGTCACCCTAAAGTAGTATCCATTTTTCATCTTACTAAAGAGTCACTATTATACACCTTTTCCCCCCAAGATCCGACTACACTTCTTGAGATGGTGCCACACTTACTAGACATCCTTCAGATACTGGCCTTTTACTGGAACAGGATTATCACCTTTGAGTAGACTCCTCCCTTCTTTGTCTGCTCCAGAGTGGTGTGGGGGAAGGTGTCCTCTCTCTACCCAGGGGTTTTGCAAGTGGATACTGATGGCCTTGTCTTATCTGTTCGCAAAGTTGGACATACCAGACATTTTAAAGAATTACTCCATGAAAGCAATGGGGACTTCAGCAGTGTCTCATAGAGCCTATCCCTGCCAGGCATCTGCTGTGCAGCCACAGGGTCTCAGCCTTCCACTCTTTTCAAGCATTACCAACAAATGTTTAAGCTCGGCAAGATGCATCTAGACATGCTGCCTTTTCTGCTGTGCTAAGTCCTCCATTAGCTTCCAGCTAAGTGAGCTTTCCAGTCGCCCATTTGTGTGAGACACAAAGGCAGTAAAGAAGAACAGGCTACTCATCTGTAATGGTGGTGCTCTGAATGGTCATCTCTGCAATGGTCACCTCTGCATTCACACAGTACACCTTCCTCTCCTCGGTCCTCACAAGCTTTTTGTATACATGCAGTGGATTGGAGAAGATTAGCAGGGCATACTTTCATATGAGGAGTAGAGTGGAGCTATGGCTGAAATTCTATTCGGCTGTGGAACAGGCTGTGAGAGGTTTTGCACAGGGATAGCCCCATTTGTATGAGTTGACCATTCGAAGGACCACTGGAACAGGTAAGCAGCTTTTATACATATGCAACCACACAGAAGAAGTTCCAAGCACATCAGCTTCAGTTCCATAACCTGCATAAATCTCTTCCTATTAAACAGAATCATGTATAAAATCGAAACTAATAATTACATCCACATAAATCTTCAAGTAAAAGTTAATTTGTATCACATTATAGTATTATGTGTAAATCAGTTTCCAACTGCCATCTGATTTTGCATTAATTGTTAGGGAGATAAAGGCGCCATGGGGATCCGTGGACTACCGGTGAGTCATCAACTTCTTATAACTACCTCACAAACTTGCTTTTAAATGCTTTGGCTATCTAGAACCCCTTTGGAGAGTGATAATTTTGCTGTCTCAGGAGTGGGGGGGAATGCTTTGGTCCCATTTATAGGATCTTGAACAGGGAAAAGTTGTTCTTGTAAAAATTAAAATAAGATATTCCGTGTCTAAGTCGCACTGGCCATGTGACCACGGAAGATTGTCTTCGGACAAAACGCTGGCTCTATGGCTTGGAAATGGGGATGAGCACCGCCCCCTAGAGTCGAACACAACTGGACAAACTTTTGTAAAAATTAAAATAAGATATTGATTTAAATGCTAAGATATGACTAACAGGAGAGATAAGAACATAAGAAGAGCACTGCTGGATCAGGCCAAGGGCCCATCTAGTCCAGCTTCCTGTATCTCCCAGTGGCCCCACCAGATGCCTCTTGGAGCACACGGGACAACTAGATACCTGTCTCCTGATACCATTCCCCTGCATCTGCCATTTGGAGATACCTTCCTTTTAAGCCTGGAGATTATACATCCCCTATCATGGCATGTAACCTGTGATGGACTTTTCCTCCAGGAATCTGTCCAATCTCTTTTCTGGTCTAGATGCCATCACCACATCCTGTGGCAAGGAGTTCCGCAGACTAACAACACATTGGGTAAAGAAATATTTTATTTTGTCTGTTCTCAGTCTCCCAACATGCAATTTGAGTGGATGAGATCTCATTTATTGAGGCTACAATCCAGTAAATGTCCACTCAGAAAGAAGTCCAAGTGAGCCCAATGGGGCCTACTCCCAGATAAATTTATATAGGACTGCAGCCTAAGCAAAATTGCAGGGATCATTATTTAATTCACCAGATAAAGTTCTGTTACGGAACTCTTGATGCCTTAGTTAATACAAATGAATGACGAACAGTCAGTAAATTAGAGTCCAGTTAAAGGACAGTTTATATTCCAAAGTTTGAAATTAGAGCAACTGTATTTGGGGGCAAGGAAAAATTGTTTCTAAATTTTTAGGCTTTCCCAAGAAATGAGAGAAGCTACCTATGAAAGGCATCATTATTTTAGACTTAAATATCTATTTAAATGGGACAAAAAAAGGAGCATCAACACACCATACAAGTAAAATATTTATTTAAATAATAGTTCATATCTCATTCTATTGTCACATCACCTCTCAAAGCAGTCTCTGCAGTCTGCTGTTTAATTTTTTCCTCTGCTCATGAGCCATGATTCTCTCAAAGATCATAATAGCGCTCATAGGATTTCTCTTCCATGTCAAAAAGAAGGGGGGGAGGATTTGGGGTACATTCTGGTGCCTTCCAGTTGCTAGAAAGTGCTCCACAGGGACAGTTTTGCACACTTACTTGGTGATATACCTATCCCATCCCATGATGTGTTTTCTCCCATAATGCATGCAGGTATTCTCTATAATTATAGGTATGGCACATGTCTATTGAAATACTGGAGAAAGAATACTGTTGCACATACTTGCTTTTCAACAGTATAGTCTCACTATTCATGCTGTTTGAAACTGATCTATTGTGCACGCCCTTCAATGCGTTGTAGACAGTAACGTGTCTGAGGAAAAAATATCTCATTAGCCCGTACCTGAGATCACAGGTTAAACTTTCTCTCAACTCAACATGTGCATCAGAGCTGACCAGAGCCTGAACTAGTAGCAGATAAGTATTAGTTTAAAGATGTTGTGGATAATCTTAAGAGATAACCAAATCCAAACAAATCTCCCCCAGAATAGACAAAATTTATCTATACAGCTAAAGATTCTTTGGCAGTTTGGATTCAGAGATAAAGAAAGACACAAGTAGTGTGTTTCTAAAAATTGTTATCCAGAATGGGCCATTTCTTCCCAATCCCTTGTATAAGAGAGATGTCCAGGTGGGATGGACAAGGGAAGAGAGAAGAAGGTGACATTTGTAGCTTCTCATCCCAGCAGTCCTTTTACCAGGACTCTCCGTTCACAGTGCTTTGAAGGAAGATTACTGAAGTAATATACTGCAGGACTCTTCACTTCTATTTGCTTCTTCTGTCTCCTAAGATCAATAATATTAAAAGGATGTTGGTATAGACTGTGAGAAATGAAGGGAATAGCATTAGGAACATGCTTGAAAACCCTTGGATATTCCAGTCCTCCTTTGCCTGCTGTTGTGTGTTCCACAGCGCACCTGCTCCTGCCCCCTTGCACTTTTTCTCGCTTGATGCCAACGAGCATAAAATAAACAAGTTTTTAACTGTTTTTTGTTAGTTATCACTCCCTTTACTTACCCACCTGAATTCAATGATTTCAATTGCTATTTCAGTCCATTTCAGAATGTATGACAAATACAAGCAAACAAAAATTTAAGATCAGTAGCATAGCAGCGGGTGAGTGTATGGCACACTGTATGGAAATCTTGAGGGCTGACCTGCGTTCAGAGTTCCTATATACAAAAGCCTCCTCTTTCCCTGAGATACCCTGATGATGTCTTTGTTGATTGGACTTTAGTAACTTTTATCCTACCATCAACCCGAGCTTAGACCAGTCTATACACTACACTTTCTGAGCACAGTTGTGCAATTACACAATGAATAAATACTATGTTATCTTGAACTCCCCACTGATCATTAAACATATTCATGTGCTTCCATCTTCCATCTAGAATGTACTGCAGTATCTATTGTCTGCAGTCAAGATCTCAGATACAGTTGCAACTGCTCTATTCTAGAGCTGGGCACAAACTGGTGACCTGCCAGTTCATGCCAGTGTCTTTTCCCTCCAAACAGGTTTCAGTGCTTCCTAGCCTTCCTCCAGTGGGCATCCACTCAGAGGCAGTGCCCCGGATTCCCTGCCCCACCTCCACCAGGTGCTGCCTCTGACTGGGTGCCCACCAGAGGAGGCAGGGCTGGGAAGTGCCAAATACCTGTTTGGACAAAAAAATGAGTCAGAACAAACCATTGAACTGCTGGCTCATGCCCATATCCATATGATGAGATAGAAATACATCTGTGCTGTTAATGCACTTTCAGTGTGTTGATTACATAAACATCCTGGTTAATGGGTAGAGTATTTATCTCTAACATGTTTCCTGTAGGCGGGTGCATAATTGTTTTCTTTAAATGTTTGGAAGTGCAAATACTTTTGCTTTCAAGAAATAGCTCATACTTCTTGAATCAACATCTGATTCTAATTCCTAAGACAGAGGTTTTTTTTTTAAAAAAAATCATAACCTCAATATTGAACTCCATGTGTTTGAAGAAATGGATTATAATCCATGGTGGCTCAAATTGAAAGAAATTGGTTAGTCTTAACAGTGTTGTGAGCCCTTTTCCCACTTCATTTTTGTCATACCTTCTGAAATTAGATCTCACAAAACAGCCATGCTGGATTCCTGTTACTCCAGCATTTTATTCCCATAGTGACAAATCAGATGTCTCTGGGAAGTGCAGAAGCAGGGTGTGAGTACAATTACAACCTTCTGCTCATGTTCTGATAGAGATGTCCTTCCTTTGATACGTTGATCAATTCAGCTATCAGGGCTAGTAACAGTTGGTAGCCTTTTCTTTTATACATATTTGAATCCTTGTCTAAACCTGTCCAACTTGGCAGTCATCACTACAGCTAAAGTAGTGATTTCCATAATTTAATTACGTGGAGTGTGAACTGCTTCCTTTTACCTGTCCTGTCCTCTAGGGCCCAAAGACATTCAACTATCTTGTTTTAAGTACAGTTCTTGTAGTAGACTTGTGTTACTATCAATATAATAAGTAATACACCGCATTGTTCTAGGTAAGAATAAGTAGTCACCTCACTATTCTATGTATCATCTTCCTGTTTCATCAATCCATACATTATATTTTTAAACTTCTAAGTTTATGAAAACTGAGAGCTCCTCTCCCACCAACTTTTTTAGATAGAGATAACCCTTGTGCTTCATATAAAGATGGAATGGTTGGGGGATTTGAAATTTGCACTGAATAGGAAAAATGAAACTGGAGGTAACTAACTAACAAAATAAGACAATAAGGGCATAAACTTGTCTAGATAATGTGAAATGTTGTCATTGTAGAATCCCAATTTTGTTGTTAGTGAGGAACTATAAAACTGTCCTAGGAAATCTTAGTAATTCATTGAGCTTCCATGAGAATTCCGTGGAGCTTCTAATCTCCAGATTCACTTCAGCTTTTAAATCAGGTGGAATCTGGCAACATCCTGAGGATGTGCAGGACTCCTCTGTGAAATTCAGCAGGTCTTAGCACTACTTTGAATTTCCTCGAAATTTTTCAGAGGCTTCTCCTTAGCATGAGGTCTCCCAACTTCACTTTGAAGTAAACACGATTGAGCTCCTTATTGTATAATGATATCAGAACCTTAAAGATTGGTGACCTGCCAGTGACACTGATGAGGGTCAAGTCACAATTTTTCATAGATGGTTTAGAACTTTATGCATGCTGTTTTCCTTAAGTGTCTCAAAATTGAGTGCTTTCACACAGCATATTTGAAATATTGATGCTAAGATGACACAATCCATCAACTGCTTTGTTGCATGTTAACCACAGATTCTAATACTTTCATTTATTTCCCTCATCAGTTACCCAAACAGATCTCTCTGTTTTCTTTATCATGGCATTGGTTGGAACCAAAGTCTACATGGCTGCCAAAACAGATCTTGCAAACAGACCTAATCTTGCAATTGTTCCTCAAAGAGAGCACTGAGTGGGTCAAAAGATGCTTGTCGGGTCTTTCGCTGCTTTTGCATTACTGTCTTGTGAGCTCAAAAGTAAGCTAATATAGTTATGTGAGCTGACTGCTAACACTGTGCCATTTGTTTTTACTACTTATGAAATGAAGAAAATTCTTAGCTTCACTTCATTTCAATTGCTATGTCCCTCAGCTTCACAAGGGTGTTCTCAGGACAAACAGCTCCCCACAAGGGAAATTAAGCCCTGAACCCAACAAACGATCACACAGTCTGAATTGAAGAGCTTCAGTGATGAACAGTTTTCCCTATAGGATGAGCTATTTATCTGGAGAGCTTCTGGATTCTGCTTTCCTGAAATAATATGCTGGAATTCTTAGAGATTATTTAAATAGGATAGAGTAAGAAGCAAACGACACCGTTCACTGTGCTTGAGTGTGAGCATTAAACGAAGCAGGTGTGTTTATTATGTTAAATTTGTGTACCTGTTATGTGCATTTGTGTTGTTTGAGGGGCTTAGTCTACCTTAACACTGACTTCTGTATTTGTGTGTTTCTCTTTCTCTCCCCTTTCATCCTTTTGCATGTGGCTGTGACTGATGTAAATGGTGGCCCAGGGACAAAAGGGGAAACCTGGAGAGAAGGTGAGTCAGCTCTTTCCAGCTCATCATTTCATTCTGGGTTTGTCCGCAACTGCTGCCTCCAATCCATTACAAGCTGCTGATAAAGCTCCTATGTAATGACATATCCCACTCACCGTGAAACTTTGCCTTGAAGAATGAGGATGCTATTTGATTAGTTTGAAATCAGCCCAGGTTATTTCACCCTCATACTCCTTCATCCTTAACCCCCTCAAATTCTGGGAAAAAAGAAAGAAAATCTTCTATGTGAGTCAAAAGCTAATTTTACATATACAGTATACATTACATAGACAAATTAATGCAATCAATGTATGCAGACATGTGAGTCAAAAGCTAATTTTACATATATACATTACACAGACAAATTAATGCAATCAATGTATGCAGATAAGAAGAGATAGGTGGTGTGCCCCTCCTTCACTCTATGAAAGAAGCACAGACATATTCTGAGGTTGCTGCAGAAATTTTGGTTTGTTTACTATAATTTATATTAATGTTGCAAGAGCTTATTTATAGCAATGGTCAGAGAAACTCAACATTTGCAGCTGGCCTGTTTTGGTATTTTTTTGGAACCCTTTTCCTATTTCGTTGCCAACATCTGCGTTTATTGTGTCGAGGAAAGCTACATGTGGAAATGTGGTTAACTGCACCAGCTGTGTCCTAGGCAGTTCCCTCCAGATGCAGCCTGCTGAACTAGCTCTTAGATTTCCTGGTTGCAAACCATGGTTGAAACCCACTATTATCTAAGGGGAAAACCTCATAAAAATAATTGAGGAAAGCAGGTGAGAGAGACCCCTCAAACGTTTACTTTAATCTATGCTGGTGTTTTTCTTTGCTGCTATTAAGATAAACATTACATTAGTCCTCTCTTCATTTGGGCTGAGGTCAGCAGTAGTCCAGAACAGACAGATCAAATTCTTTTTTCATTCTGTCCACAGAAAAACGCTTTACTGCTATGGTTTCACTTAGCAATGCTATAGTTTCAGATGCTGTTTCTTGTCGGTAGAGGAAAGTAGGTGCATGTTTGCTGTAAGATTCTTTTCTCTCCAAGGAAGTCTCACAAAACAATCATTTAGAAACCCTGTCAATCTGCTGTGGAGAGGAAGATCAGTGGAATAACACCCTACAGTGTGGATCAAGCAGGAGAGCAAAACAGCTTGTGAACATGGGCTTTTAAGTTATACAAGACAATCTGTAAACATTAAAGTATTACCAGATTGGGCCTTAAGTATTTGGAAGTTTGAGGTAATATGTTTAGAAAAGAAATGGTTTACTTGGAACTTAACATGTTTGATAGATAATTTGGGTGCAACTACAAAGCAGGAGAAATGTGAAGTCATACTAGGGAATATAGGTTTCCCTAGCCAGTTCAGATTAACTGGCCACACAAAGGGAAATAGGCTAAAAAGCCTTGTTTGCAACTTGTTAACATAGCTCTTCTGTAACTCTGCAGGAGGTGCAACTACAAAAGAACTACTTAATCAACTGTAAACAAGAAAAATGACAATTTCCTCCTCCCCCCCCCTCTGTGTGTGTGTGTGTGTGTGTGTGTGTGTGTGTGTCTAGATGCCCTAGCACAACAGCACTGGCTGCAAGCTGTTTTTTGTTTAAAGAAAGAAATTGTATTATTTGCAAATATCCAGCCCTCCCAGTCTTGATCTTTTTCCCCAACCACCATGCCATCATACCAACCACAGGCTTCCCCCTTCTTCAGAACCCCACACTGGAAAGAAAAAAGCCCAGGGATCAGCTGTGGTGGTGGCTGCACAGGGACAGCGCAGATCAATGGGGATGGGGTGATCAGGATGCTGGAAAGGTCAGAGCACGGGCATCAGGGTGTTTCTTTTTTAATGGAAAAGAATCCATCCTGATCACACACCCTCAGTCACCACAGTATTCTCCATCAGTTCAAATGATCACATTGCCTGAACCAATGAGAATGGCACTGATGGTGTTTTTTTTTTTTAAAAAATCAAAGTCTCAGTGGTGGCAGCAAAAACTATGAATGGTGGGGATGATTTCAGGAAAGTTTGCCTAACATCATGTGGGGAAAAATGCAAATCGACCCATTCCAATCCTGTATCATTTTTTTATATTTTTTGCCAATGTAGTTGCACCCTTAGTGATAGCTAAACTGTTGTTGTTTAGTCGCTGAGTCGTGTCCGACTCTTCGTGACCCCATGGACCAGAGCACGCCAGGCCCTCCTGTCTTCCCCCGCCTCCCGGAGCTGGGTCAAATTCATGTTGGTAGCTTCGATGATACTGTCCAGCCATCTCATCCTCTGTCGTCCCCTTCTCCTCTTGCCCTCACACTTTCCCAACATCAGGGTCTTTTCCAGGGAGTCTTCTCTTCTCATGAGATGGCCAAAGTATTGGAGCCTCAGCTTCAGGATCTGTCCTTCCAGTGAGCACTCAAGGTTGATTTCCTTCAGAATGGATAGGTTTGTTCTTTTTGCAATCCAGGGGACTCTCAAGAGTCTCCTCCAGCACCACAATTCAAAAGCATCAATTATTCTGTGGTCAGCCTTCCCTATGGTCCATCTCTAACTTCCATACATCACTACTGGAAAAACCATAGCTTTGACTATGTGGAACTTTGTCGGTAAGGTGATGTCTCTGCTTTTCAAGATGCTGTCAAGGTTTGTCATTGCTTTCCTCCCAAGAAGCAGGCGTCTTTTAATTTCGTGGCTGCTGTCACCATCTGCAGTGATCATGGAGCCCAATAAAGTAACATCTGTCACTGCCTCCAGACCTTCCCCTTCTATTTGCCAGGAAGTAATGGGACCAGTGGCCATGATCATCGTTGTTTTTTTAAATGTTGAGCTTCAGGCTGTTTTTTGCTCTCCTCTTTCACCCTCATTTAGAGGTTCTTTAATTCCTCCTCACTTTCTGCCATCAGAGTGGTATCATCTGCATATCTGAGGTTGTTGATACTTATTCCACCAATCTTAATTCCAGTTTGGGATTCCCCCAGTCCAGCCTTTCGCATGAACCAAAGACTGAATCTGACTTACATTAATCAACATGAAGGTGCCTCTTCACCTAGTGAGTGCATGAGCTAACTGGCCCGGATGCTGACTCTCACTTCAGCAATGTCAAGAGAGTTGCATCCTCCTTCACATCTTAAGGCAGCAAGCTAGTTTGATGAATGTAAGATAGGTTACATGGTACACAGTGCTTTGTTTACATGAGGTGATTGTCTCTCTCTGACTAATGGAAGGGACAGCCGGGTCATGATTAACTTAAGCAATTGGTTTTATTTGATCTTCTGTAAGCATGACTTAATCTGGATCAAGTCCAACTCAGCATATGTGGTTTTTGAAGGTTAGCTGTATTTATTCAGACCTCTTTCAGCTGGGTTTTCTTTGTGCAGGGTTTGATGTTTTGCTCTTTGTTGGGCTTTTGGGAAAAGATGCTTTATTTTTCTGCATATCTTATCACCCATCTAAACATGTTAGTTTGATCATATAATTATAGAATAATTAAGTTGGAAGGGGCCTCATCTACACATGTCAGTTTGATCATAGAATTATAGAAAATTAAGTTGGAAGGGGCCTATACGGCCATTTAATCCTACCCCTACTTAATTCAGAAATCCAAATCAAAGTCTGACAGATGGTTGTCCAATTTAATCTTGAATGTTTCCAGTTTTGGACTGCTCACCACCTCCTGAGGTTCTTAGTTCCATTGTTATACTGCTCTAACAGTTAGGAAGTTTTCCCTGATATTCAATTGATATCTGATCTTCTGTAACTTGAGTTCATTATTACATGTCCTGTACTCTAGGGTGACTGAGAAAAGATCCTGTCCCTCCTCTGTATGGCAATCTTTAGAAAAGATCATGTCCCTCCTCTGTATGGCAATCTTTCAAATATTTGAAAAATACTATCATATCTCCCCTCAATCTTCTTTTCTCAAGGCTAAACATGCCCAGTTCTTTCAGTCTTTCCTCAGAGGGCATGATTTCCAGTCCCCTGATCATCCTTGTTGCCCTCTTCAGAACTTGTTCCAATTTGTTAGCATCCTTCTTGAAGTGTGGTCATGTCCCTCCTCTGTATGGCAATCTTTCAAATATTTGAAAAATACTATCATATCTCCCCTCAATCTTCTTTTCTCAAGGCTAAACATGCCCAGTTCTTTCAGTCTTTCCTCAGAGGGCATGATTTCCAGTCCCCTGATCATCCTTGTTGCCCTCTTCAGAACTTGTTCCAATTTGTTAGCATCCTTCTTGAAGTGTGGTGTCCAGAACTGGACACAGTACTCAAGATGAGGCCTAACCAGTGCTGAATAGAGGGGGAATAGTACTTCATATGTATTAGAGCTTGTGTTTCTGTTAATGCAGCCTAAAACGGCATTTGCGTTTTTTGTAGCCATGTCACATTCATGGCTCATATTCAACTTGTGAGCTACAATGATTCCAAGATCTTTTTTCACATGCAATGTTATTAAGCCAAGTATCCTGGAACTTGTAACCTATGGGAGGCAGAACCTTCTTGTATGCTTGGTTTTTTCCTCAAGGAAAAAAAATTATCCCTGTTAAATGTTATTCTGTTTCAGCCCAATGCAAAAGCCTATCAACAGCTTTCGAATTTTGTTTCTCTCTTCCACAATATTATTTCAACCAATTTTGTGTCCTCTGCAAATTGGATAAATATTCCCTGCGCCCTTTCATCCACATTATTAATAAAAATGTTGAAGAGCACTGGGCCCAGGACTGAGCCTGCAGTACCCCACTTGTTACTTCCACTCAGTTTGAGAAGCATCCATTGATAAGCACACTCTGACTAGGATTCTGTCCTATAGTGCAGTGGTCCCCAACCTTAAGCCTCCAGATGTTCTTAGACTACAACTCCCAGAAGCCTTCAGCACCACCTTGGCTGGCCAAGATTTCTGGGAGTTGAAGTCCAAGAACATCTGGAGGCCCAAGGTTGGGGACATCTGCTATAGTGAAACAGCAGGAACCAAGCTAATGCTAGAACAATACTCCCATGTTCCCAATCAATCACATTTGCATCAAAAATGGGCAATGGAATGCAAGATAGTTACCAATTCACAAAGTTGGCTTTGGTATTTAGCCAAACGCTCCCCACAGTAATTAAATCTCTTTTTTTGTAACAGTGGCCATTATCATATTTGATCTTCTATGATAAAGCTTCCTTAAGTATTTGGTGGTCTGATGCTACAGGCAATCCATTTAAAAGTTAGCACCTTACTACTTTAAAATGATATTTTAAAATAAAAATACAGTGGTGCCTTGCTAGACGATGATAATCTGTTCCACTGAAATTGCTGTTTAGCAAAATCATTGTCTAGCACAAAGCATTTCCCCGTTGGAATGCATTGAAACCTGTTTAATGTGTTCCAATGGGGAAGAATCGTTGTTGTCTAGCGAAGATCAGCCATAGGAAAGCCGCTTTGCGAACCGCCGATCAGCTGTTTAAATTGCTGTCTTGCGAAGCTTAGGTCCTGAAAACACCTGTTTGCGAGCACGGAGGGAGCTGTCAAAATCGGCGTCTAGCGAAAATCAGTTTGCAAAGCAGGGACCAAACATTGTCCAGCGAAATTCCCCGATAGGAATCACTGTTTTGCGAATCACTATAGCGATCGCAAAAAGCCAATGTCTAGCGAAAAAACTGTCATGCGGGGTAACTGTCTAGCGAGGCACCACTGTAAAAGCAAATATGAGCTGTGAGTGACCAAGCTTATTCTACTCCTGCTCTCTTGAATGAAGACATATCTATGTTTTCTGGAAACTTACTGAGATGTTCTTGTCCTGATATTTTCCCCTCTGGTTATTTCTTAAATGTCTAAGCTGTATCTAAAGATTTGTAAGGTCAGTCTCAGTTGAGCCAATTATCTTGCCAGTGGCATCAACAGAAAAAGTACCTGATGGTACAGGATTGTCAAAATCCAGAAATACCATTAGGTTTGCTGCCTGTCTTGTGAAAACTGGAAAACTGGACACAGATTCTGCTTCTGAAGGAATTGTACTTAGAACAAGTGAAAAGATATCCTGAAGTAGTTCTAGAGATGCTTCCTTGAGGCTTTCAGAAAATTTGAAGAAGCATTAAACATGATCACGTCTTATCTGATGCCTCCTTTGCCAACAGTATGCGTATATGTTATCATACTTAAAAAGCTCAGTGAGGCTCCTGATTACTGAAACCTCCTTTGCCAACAGTATGCGTACATGTTCTCATACTTAGTTGATGCAAAAGGCCAGTATAAAAGCTCAGTGAGGCTCCTGATTACTGAAGGTATCAGAGGCCACCAGATTCTACTGTGTTCATCAGTGAAGCTGACATTTCCACAATCCAAAACAGATTACAAACACTCTATATTTGTTCATTTACCATCAAACCAGACATTTACCCTCCAACTTCTTCAGGCACATATGTGTCAGCAGCCAGACTTGCAAATTAACTTGTGTTTACCTTGCCAAGATCAGTCACTTAATTAAGTAGGAAATGATTGGCCAGAATACAGTTAGTGTTTTCATAAGGTTTGCATAACCTGCTGCAGCTAATTGTAGCTAATTGACAGGGTGCTGGGATACATCTCATTTGCATGAGCAGGGGTGTGACCAGGCAAACAACCAAGACAGACTGACACCTTGTCAATTAGCCCCAATTAGATGTAAGAAGTTACACACAACTTACAAGTAAACACCAATAGGATTCTGGCAATTTCCTTTGATTGTTAGTGCTAGAAGCAGTCCATCTGATTTTTTTGTGTCTAGTTTCTGTATGATACCCCTGTCAATCATAAACAACCACCAACTGTTACAACTTTTACATATGTGACGATTAGTAATCCTTGCTAAAATAAAAATACTTATAGAGCATATGCAGCCAAAGTAGACACCAGGTGGAAGAGCAGATGTAAAAGTTAACATTCTGAAATAAATTTAGGAAAGTACTACAAGGAAAGTACAGCCAGCAAGAGGCTCTTTGCTAGATATCAGTGTGGGAAGTGAGTTGCAAAACAGGAAGCTGAGTCAGTAATTGGACCAAAAATCTAATAAACTGGCTAAGCAACCCATGAGCAATTATATAGAATTTTCTGCTGATGCCTCATATATAGCAGGTAGTCTAGTCAGTCACCACAAAGGATATTGTTTGTCTGCAGTTAGAAAACCACTTGGTCCCTTGCCCCCACAACATAAAAAGGTAGTGTAAAAAGAAATTGCATTGCACATTAAGAAGACAAAAATCATGACTACAGAAAAACTACACCGTTTTAATGTCGGCAATGAAGAAATTGAAATTGGTGAAAGATTTTGTATGCCTTGGTTCAGCCATCAAGCCAAATTCAGACTGCAGCCAAAAAAACAGAAGAAGGCTAAGACCCAGAAGGGCAACAAAGAAGGAATTAGAAAAGATCAGCATATATGGATATGCTGGACAGTAAAGAAATCAGAGAGGGGAAAAATGATTTGTTTGCTTTGCAGATACCCTGAACTGCAAGAAAGACAAACAAGTGAGCAAATCAAGCCTGACCTATATTTGGAGTAAAAAGGACAAACTGGGGCTATCATACTTTGAACACATCATGAGACAATAATGCTGGGAAAGATTGAAGGCAGCAGGAAAAAGAGGAAGCCACAGGCTTGTGTTTACAAGAGCTGAGGAGGGCTGTTGAGTACAGGTCATTTTGGAGATTGCTCATTCATAGGGTTGCCATAAGCCAGAGGCGACTTGATGGCACATAGAAACAACAACAGGAAATTGCTTTCTAGAAATGTGGGTGGAACCTGTATAGAAATAGGGCAGCATTGTTTCTCTACACTTCTAATATGGCCAGTCCTTATAGGGAGTTATAGCAGCCCCCATGTTGCAAAGGATAATGTACAAAGAGCCATAATAATGTTAGAAAGGGTAGTAGACAGGGCCATTGATCTATTCTACAAATCTAAATTCCTTTCAAAGGCATTGAACTGTTAGAACAGACAAAAGGCTGTGGGTGGGGGTGAAGTTGGGAATATGTGGACATGAGAAAGTTTAAGGATATATTGAGAAGAATTATCAGTGAGCTAACATCAGATATCAACATCTACTGGTATGTTTGGGGAAAACAAACTGGAAGTTCCAAAACAGTTCTGTGTGTATTAAAGCAAGCATGGGGAATGTGTAGCCACAAATGTGTTGGGCTGTAATAACATCCTTCGCCATTGACTGTGCAGGCTAGAACTGATATGGACTGCAGTCCGAGAACACCTGGAAGTCATGTGTCTCTCACCAGTGGTGTTAAGCAGTTCGGACCTTATGATTAATATGTATTTGCTTAATTACTGATCACAGGAACAGCAAATTATCAGCAAGAGCCAGGCTTTTGACAACTAGCAGTTAGGAACCGTGTGTCAGCCATTGTTTGTTCACAAATTTATTATGGCAAAATGGAATGAACCACAGTGATTTTTTACCTAGGAGAATTTATGGTGCCAAAATCAGAGAGGCTGTATAAGATTGTACCTTTGTGTGTGTATCTCTGTGTGTGCATGCGTGCATGCACATGCACGTGCACATACATACACATACATGCATCACTTGGTTGTGCAGTCCCACTGCCTCTTTTAAAACATAATAGCTTAATTCCTAGTCATACCAAAATTTCCAGATTTCTGGAGGAAGTTTCCTTGCAGAGAAGAGTGATAACTGGACATAAGACAAATTTGGCATCGGACAATATTATATATTCACTGAGATTACTTGCCATTTTCAAGGAGTCTAGTGTGATGCTTTGATCTGATTTCAGGATAGATTCAAAATGGCCCCCTGTTTGGGTTGGAAAAGGCCAGAGGAGCTGCTGTTTAAACCAGAAGAAATATGTTTTTAATCATTATCTCTCAGAAGTCTGTGCATGTATTGTTCATTTTAATCCATATTGTAAACTTTCCTTTTCTCCTTGTCCACATTTTCCTTGCAAGTCTCCATTGGTGTGTACTCCAATCTTTTAAGTATTCACTTTCACTCTCTCTCTTCTCCTTTTTTAAAAAACTATAACCCATCTCCTGTCCTAACTTGCTCCTTTGCAGGGAGTTCCTGGAGAAGCTGGTATGTCCATCATTGGTCCCCGTGGCCCTCCGGTAAGTGTCCACTTTCTCTGCTTTTCCTCTCTAAGATTTAAATGTTGAAGGATGTGGCTGAATTACAAAAACAAAGATTAGGGAGTGGAAGATGCAACATGGGTCAGTTCCTTCCAGAGATCTGTAACTCTATATGCTGTAGGGTCAAATTAGACATTAAGAAAAATGTGTATTCCCTATGATTAATTTGTTTTTCCTCTCAGAAAAGGATTTCTTCAGAGATATGAGCCTCAGCAATCAGACTTGCAAATACCTTCCAGTGACCATTCGCAAAACATTCAAATACAAAATGTATAGGTGAGGAAAACAGATGTTGTTCAACACTTCGGAGAGCAGTTCTTTTAAGAACATGATAAATATATTGTATAGTTTAATCCTAAATACAGGAATGAAAATCCCTGACATAAGAATGTTACAAACCTTATGTCCAGAAGAGGAGTGGCCATGTTTCTCCAGTTTGGAACTAATGGAGAGCCTTTTCAAATCAATCCCCACATTGCAGCTTGGAATAGGGTAGGCAGATCAGAACTTCAGAGGATGAGTGATTGTGCACTTGAACTCACATATCTAACAGGGCAGTCTCAGTGCATGGTCATTCTGAAAAAAGTGCAGACCCAGAGGAATTGCAAGCTAATTGTTGTGAGGACATGAATGTAATATAAAGTATAACAAGTAGAACCTTGTCTTTGTGTATGATGAGTCTAGTGTGTTCACTTTCTGACTGCAAAATGAAACCTTAAGACTGCAACACCACTTGCTGGCAATATTCCCACAAAACTCCTGTCGCCTGTCTTCTTTGGACTGTTCTTTGAAATCCAGTCTTTGAAAACGAAAGGTTGCGTTGATTTTACTTTCCTTAAGATTATTCACAAGAGAATAGTTTCTTAAGCTTTATTGGAGTGGAGCTACTTGAGAACAAATAATTTCAGGGCTGTGGCCTTAATAAGGCACGTATCCTCACTGAGATGAATGGTTGCCTGCCATAATCATCAGTACTGGGTGGAAATGCATTTTCTCCATCTCCAGACTAATTGCAACATTGATTTAGTTTAATGGCGGCCTGGTGATCAGTGTGAAGGAGCACCCTGATAGCAAAGAAAGGCCTGGAAGCATTGAAAGAACAGCATGCTTTCGGCAGATGTGCGATGACAAATAGTTTCCAGACTGTCTTTTGGAGGCGAGATGATGTGAGCATTTGCACATCCAGAGTTTTTCAGCTGCTTGACATTACTTTGGGTTTGCTGGCTTGAACAACACATTGTGCTGAGCATGGCAGAAACAGACATTCTGCAGCACTTGGCCGTTCTATGAGAGTTTTATTCTTGAGAACTTGATACAAACAACATTTGAAGAAGAGAAAGCTCAGTCCTGCTTAGAATCTTTAGCTGAGTTGAACTTTTGCTCTGGTTTTTTTATCATCTCAAGCCAAAAAAGCCAAAAATGTGCGGCTTAGCAGTTGACAAGGAAGGTATTGGTGGCCAAGCTGCACCCTTTCCGGATTCCCTCTTCTATTCTTTCCACCACCCATCCGCCCAGGCTCTTGCTGGTCCATAAGAATAGTCAACAAAGAATCAACAACTGCAGATTTATTAGTGAGACTGTCTCATTTCTTGCCCTTTTGAAAAGTTACAGAGCGGACAGGCCCTTGAATTTATAATGTATCATCTCCCCTTGGGCCCTGGCCAACAGCTCCACGATGTATTCTATATTCTGCCAAAACAAACACAACCAAATGCAACATTGCAAAGCTGACCTTTTTTTCCTTAAAGCATGACAAATCCAGGTGTGCCAATGTTCAGTGTTTTAAAAGTGCTCTTTGAGGCAATCTGACACTTTTTATCTCTACTGTCATTCTCCAAGGTACGTCATAGGAAACTTTTGCCTTTTTTAATGGCTCCTTGTAATAAAACCTTTTGTAATATGGAGTGAGAAAAATATGTTCTTTAGAGCAATGGTTTTTAGCTTTTAATATCTTAAGTTCCACCAACTCTAGCAAAGAATCTGAGTTCAAGCATGATAGAAACAAAAAACCCACTTTTCCTGAGACATACCTTTATATGTTTACAAACATTTTATTTTTGTATTTATCATTTATGATAAGGTTTATGATATGATATACAATTTGCAGAACTACTGTTGGAAGTAAATGTTGTCAGATAAATAATAGCAAAAATAATAATTCTACTGACAGTTGAAAATGGTAAAAGTATCAAGTATAAATTGTACTGCTACAGTAACTGTAAATGCAAACGTAATGAATTAAAGAATGAAATAAAATTATTAGGAATACATTTTATTGGTATTGCTAAAAACCAACAACACAAAGCCTACCTGTAACAATTTCATACTTCCATGATATGAAAATTATGTGTCCCACCTAGATTTCTATGTCTATCTGGTGGCACACATCTGAGTGGATGAGAGCCATTGTAATACAACAATGATTTTCAAAGTGTGCACAATGTAGTTCTATAATTTTGTGCACACTTACTAAAATTTCCTCAACAAAAAGGTTAATAAAGCATCCCAAAAAATGCTTTCTTATGTTTCCTTGGTAGAAACCCTTACATTCTCTCTAACAAATGAGAATGGAAGATGATTTTTTTTCCCTACCAGATGGGCAGTATAAAAACCAAACCAAACCAAACCAATCAATCAATCAATCAATCAATCAATCAATCAATCAATCAATCAATCAATCAATCAATCAATCAATCAATCAATCAATCAACCAACCAACCAACCAACCAACCAACCAACCAACCAACCAACCAACCAACCAACCAATCAATCAATCAAACAATTCTATGCCCCCTTCTCCTAAAATAGTTTTCAACCGAAGGCTAACTCAGATGGAGCATTTCCTTCCTACTCAGTCCTGGTTGGTGCCATTTAGAGAACATTAACTCAAATCTTAGCAGGGTTTCTGCCCAAACTTATTTTTAAAAGCCTTATTTTTCTTCTCTTTTAAGAAAACAGCATCTCTTTGGGAGTTGCATCAAAATTCTTTCAAAAACTTTGAGTGAATAGTGCTGGGTCATTTTTGTGCTTTTTTGTTTTACTAAATTAGTGCTAAATTGAAAGCAACTGGTGGCAGTGGACGTCCACTGCTCAACTACCTTGGATATTAGCTGTCTTCAAAAATAGGTATTTGAAAACTTGGAGGAAATCCTAGAAATTATTTTCTTTTTGCATTTCTGTGGTTTTTCAGTTTGCTTAGATAGAATAGTGCTAAACTGCAAACTTTTGACACCATGGACATCTATTGGTAATTTACCTTGGCAATAATATCTCATTACAAACAACTTCAAAATCTTGGAGATTATCTTCTCTGCTGAAGGTTTTTCCCCCTTTTAACAGTGAAATAGTGTTAACCTTTCAGCTTCTGAATAAAGAAGTGCTTGTCACCTGAACTCTGTCAGAAGTTCAAAGTGAAACAAACACCTACAGAAGGTGGCATTTTAAAATGCAGGGGTGGGTGTGGGTCACACATCACAGTTGATAACTGCTTTGCATTGTCTGGATGGTGGGGAAAATACCGGCATCATCAGTGCAAAAAAATGGAGAGCAAATGCTCAGTTTAGATGAGCCCAGAGAGGCCAAAAAAGTGAGTTGAGTGTAACATATGAATTGAATGGCAAAGGCATCAGAATTCTCACAGTTCAGGGGTTAGTGGGGAAAGAGAGAAGATCCTTTCTTAAGAGTAACGGAAGACTTTGAAACTTCTTGTGCCATTTACAGTAAATAACAATAATGCAGAAGCTTCTTCCTCATTGTTTGTATGTGAAGAAACTTTTCAGTTTCCAAACATTTAACAATGGTGACGCTGGATTATATTTGAGAATAATATTATATGGATCCGGGTGCACAACATGAGGTTATAAGTCTACCTAATGTTCCAGTGCTCCTTTTCGTGGGTGCCTTGGCTTTTCCTTCAACAAACCCTCACCCATGCTGATTTCACATAAATTTCTTTGAGGCTGTTAGTTACTGCTGCACAGAGGAAGATGGATTACCATTAATCGTGGGTAGTGGAGAGATGGTGGGCAGTGGAGAGGGATTAGAAGATACATGTTTTGTGTCCTGTTCTGCAGTTCTTAAGCAAATCTGCAGGTACTGTTCCACCATCAGTTTATTAAAAGACCAGCTGCCCCTGCATTTGGCTTCTGTGTTCCAAAGTGGGGTGTGTTCGTGTGTGCATGTCTCTCTGCACCATTTTGTCCTTTACTTCATGTAGGAATAAAGTGTCTTGTGTCAGCCATCTACAGGTTTACTGTTCTCAGCATTCTATACCTTTCTTTTTTTATGTCTTTCCTGCTCTCTTTTTTCCTTTCCTTTCCTTTTATTTTTTTGGCAAACATCTCTGCTTCACCATTTCCCTCATGGATAAAGCAAACGAGGAGATGTGAAATCCAGACAATTGGGCTTGAGTGATCAAGACCACCATTATTTTTGAAGCCCTATATAGACCACATAGCAGATTGACCACCATTAAATGCCTTGTTTTATGGCACTGTGATGCGGTTATGCAAAGAATTCTGACAAAGTGTTCCCAGGCACTGGAAACTGCACTGAATGGACCAGTGAGCAAGCCTGTGAAGTTGTAGCACACATATGTAATTGATTCAGAAACTTCAGACTGTCTGGGATTCAAAGTGAACCCTTCTGCAAGGCTGATCAGGCCTCTCTATTTCCCATCTTTCATGCAAATCAAGACTTAGTGGCTATAGTCGAGAAACAGTTGAAGGGAAATTGGAAATTACATGTACTTCACCACAGATGTGTGTTTTTTTAAAAAAGTTTCTTCTAGTGTGTGTATTAGGGTGATCATTTAATGTGGCCACAGGCTGGACCAAAAAAGAGGAAATGCATCAACACAAAAAAGAAAGAAAGAAAAGAAAAAAAAGGAAAAAGGAAAAGCACAGATCTGTACAAAATGTGCATATTCTAATGCATCTGCACTGCATCAACACAAAAAAGAAAGAAAAGAAAGCAAAAAGCACAGATCTGAACAAAATGTGCATATTCTAATGCATCTGCATAGATCCTGGTGTCCACGTGGTCCCTGCCCAGCCTGCTATCTAGGTGCTCCTGTTGCTTCTTCTTATGGTCCTTCGTCATTTAATTGTATCTTATTAGAGGTAAAATACCACTTTCCTTCCTACAGTCTTGTACCAGGTATCACAATATAGTTCCTTCTAAAAGTGAGTGCTGATGGAAGTAGAGCCAAAACAAGACTGCTGTGAACCAAGGAAACGGGATCTCTGTGCCTGGGGAAACATGGACGTTTTCTGACCTACAAAAAGAATTTTTTTAAAAACAAATAAGATGAACAAGAAACCCTAATAACAGCTCAGCCAGGACTGTGCGTGCCACTATCCACAGAATATCAATTGTTGGAAAAACTGGAATTCAGCACCACAGCTGGCTGGAAAGCTGTTGGAAAAACTGGATGGGGGGTGGAATTCAGCACCACAGCTGGCTGGAAAGGACTCTGAGCAGAAGCTATCTTCACTTTAAAAAGTGAAGCTGCATCGCCTCTGAAGAGCATAGACCTGGCCTACAAGGGCTGGGTAACACGTGAGACAAACATCTGACTGAACGCCCTCACAAAGGCCTCATGATCAGAAATACCCTGCCTTCCCAGGGTTACTAATCATGGAACTTTGTAAGTACCTTCAACCTTACAAAGCTTTGTAATGTGATGAGTTACAAAGCTCATCATGCTGATCAGGCAGACATCTGTAAAACAGGTAATTCAAACATCTTTTCAGAGTCCTTTTCAAACCTTTATGTTGAAAGACATGATGTAAAGATGCAAAAGGCAACAAGGCACATAGTGGGCAAGGCTTATGAGTGCTTCCATCTCTCCCCCGTCCGTTTTAATCCTATGTCTGTGCGAGGAAATGCTCGCAAAGGTTTTTTGTTTTGTCTGACGTGTTACCCAGCCTTTGAAACATTGTAGGCCAGGTCTGTTCTGATCGCTAGTTTAATAAAACCTGGTGTTCATCCAGCTGAAGATGGTAATGAAGGTATTTTAGAAGGAGTGGACTCAACAGCAGAGATATTCTTGAATAAAGTACTGTAATACAATGTCCCAATTCCATGCTTCATCCATCTTGTAACAAGAACCTTGTAGCAGTCATGGTCTTTGAGGCCTCTCAGGAATAGAAGGAAGAGAGGTGCCCCCTTCACCATAATCATCACTTCCACTGTTGAAACTTTCTCCTCCTGTTTCATATAGTACTCAAGGGCTCAGCGTTAATTGGCTTCTACTCCCAAACCTGGGTGCTTTATTGCTCTAACGTGAGGAAGGAAAATTTAAGAAAGGAAAGCAATCTTTTTCTTTTCCCTTTTTTGTCAATTGCATGGAAGTCTCCTCAACAGCATGGAGAAAGTATTTTATAAACTAATATACTTAGCATCCTGACTTCAGAATATTACAAATGGTCAGCAATTTAAGTAGTTCAAGTCTCAATCTCTACTGCATTTTACTTTCCCTTCCCTCATTCAACTGCTTTCAAGATCTCATAAGCCTTAGAACCTACTGAGCCTAATAGTCTTCTTAGACCAGTCCTTCCTTGTATCAATTTGTGCTCGAATCAGTCTCTCCCTGTTCACATAACAGTACTAAGGCCTATTCACAAAGCCAAGCAATCATATCCCTTTAAAATCTATGCTGTGCGGAGAGTGGGGTTGCCATATACCAGTTATAGTAACCTGAAAATATATTTGGTTTACAATCATGTGTAATCATGCTTGAATCTAGAAATTCATATCACGAGGAATTTGACATGAGTATTTTGTTGTGTGCCAGGGATAGCAAATCTTTACATGTTTTGGACACCTCCTATAATTCTTTATTATTGGCCATGCTGGCTGGGGAGCTGAAATCTCAAACATCTGGAGTCTAAGAAGTTGTGAATCATTGCTCTAGAGCCACGGTGGAACGCCTAAAAAGCCAAAGGATCTCTCTATCCACCCTCTACGACGTGTTCTTTGTGGGATTGGTATTTCAAATATAGTTGCTTCCACACAGACCAAGGAAGACTCCTGCCCACATGGGTTGGTTTCAAGATGTGATCACAAGCTACATAAGTAATGCTCAACCCCAAGGAACCCTATCATTTGTATGTCTTGTAAATACATCCTAAAGCAGAAACACATGAGGGGAAGTCTTTCTATGTAATCAGAACAGCGTGGTAACAATTGGGAGGGAGATGCAGCCACACAGGGAACAGTATGTGTAACTGGAGGGATTGCTTATAATATTGACATATTGAAACCCTTTTCATGCTATTGAAAAATAACAGTCTTTGAGGGCTGAACTGTAATGACTACTAAACTGAATACAAATTTCTGTTGCTAAAACATTTGGGGAGGGAATTGATGGGAAAATGCGGGCTTTGAAATGAGAGATAACAGTATTTTTAGTGAACTGTGCTAGCTTCCAAACACTATCAAAGTACCTTTATCATGAAGTAATTCTCTATAGCCAGGAGAAAAATCCCTCTGGCCATGGAAAACAAGTGCACCTATATTCGTTTGGCATGTACAAGGCAGAAGGCACCACAGGCCCTATGGAGTGATTTAGTCAAACATGTTGCTCCCTCATCTGTTCTTTTCATCTCTTTTTCCACTTCATTCTATTCAGGGACAGCCTGGAACGAGAGGTTTTCCTGGGTTTCCAGTAAGTAGCACTCTTAATACATGCTATTATACATGAATGATATATTTCTAACTACAGGATCACTGAAGTTAAATGCCTCTCAGGACATTTGTTCTAAAAAGGGCAATTTAGCGATTATGTCACAGAAAACATTCTGCTTTGTTTTTCCTTGCAAAAATCTGACTTTTAAAAAACCCTAAGTAAGGCAATTGTGTTCTTAAAATTTCCTTTCGCTAATAAACAAAAAAAAATGCTGTAAAATCAGATAGTAAAAACATACAAGTCCAGTGCTGTCAACAGCCAGGTCAAACCACCACCAGAGAAAGATGAGTTGCCACCCATTCATAATTACTATAAATCGGGATGGGCAAAATACAACCAGTAGGTTGCAGATGGTCCTCAGAACCCCTGGCATGATCTCCAGCACACCTAATCATAACCATATGCCATCAAGTCAATTCTGACTTATGGTTACTTTTTTCACGGTTTTCTAAGCAGAGAATACGGAAAAGGGGTTTACTAGTTCCTTCTTCCACCCCTACACTTTCACAAAGGATTGTCATATCCTCTAGGTCATTTTTTTCTGACCTTGAAACCCTGCCCCCAAAGCCTCAAACAATTTGGCTAGCAAATGTAGTGGCATTGCCCTACACCACTGTAGGTTGCTCTTTGCAAGGGAAATTGAGGTGGATGGCTTTTCAAATTTGAGACCACTGGAAACTCCCCTCTCCTTTTGTTGATCATTGCCATTTAAGGAGCTCCCTAGAATAACTAGCAATCATATTGAACATTATATAAATAGCATGAGTTCATTTTTTGAAGGCTTTTTGACTGACAGTACTTTTCAAATGATGCCTATAATGGCATTAATGCTGTCTCTCTTCTAAAAAGAAAATGCAAAGGAACACCAGCGATTCATCAAGATTGTTGCTTTCGTCTTGTCTGACATTGTCTGGCTAACAAAAAAAGAAAAAGCTAAATTTCCTGTTTTCCAGTATTCCTTAGAATTTCCTGAAGAAGATGAATATGAGAATATGAGGAACTTTTATATATTCCATAATGGATACCATTTGGTTGTTGTGGGTTTTCCTGGCTGTATTTATATATATTACCTAATGGATACGTGTCTACCATTTGGTTGTTGTGGGTTTTTCTGGCTGTTTGGCCGTGTTCTTAAGGTTTTTCTTCCTAATGTTTCACCAGTCTCTGTGGACAGCATCTTCAGAGGACAGGAGTCAGAACTCTGTCTGTGCTCTGTTGCAGTTTGTTGGATAGTTGAGTATTTATAGCTGTGGGATCAACTTTTGTCCTTTTCAGGAAATTGGGTGATTATGATGATCAGAGTGTTTTTGTTGTGGGTGTAGTGTTATGATGAGGGGATCCCAGCTGTGAAAGCCTTCAAGAATACATTGTCTATATTTATCTGCTCAAGTTACAGTTTGTAACAGTTCTGTCCTAGTACCTAAATAACAAGTCACTGCTGTTTGCTATTAATGTATCGCGGCATGAAAATGATAAATGTATTGTTAAACTATCACAGATTATTACTCAAAAGTTAAAGCAGAAGTATTAAGTACCATGAGCTGCCAAAGATTGCAGTCACCTTCACAGTTCGATTGATTAAACACAGTGAGAATTTCAATTTAAACATGTGTAGGAGTAGTAATTCACTGTAATGTTCGTTCTCTAAAAGCTACAGTAACTAATATAATCACAAATAAGGATTATAATATTCTTCTTTCTCTCTCCTTTTTGCATCTGGTACATTCTTCCTAACACCTCTTAGATATTCAGGGCCTGGGGCTGTATAATAAGGGGCACAAACACACTTTAAATTACTTGCCTGTTTAAGTCAATTACTCACTTGTTCTCCCTGCTTCTTTTCAGGGCCCAATTGGCTTGGATGGCAAACCAGTGAGTGAAAAGTTTGTTTCCTTCCTATTTTTATTCTTATTGCTAGCCTTTTGATCCAGCCTTTTTCTGCACATAACACATTTTAAGTGTGTATTTTGAAATGTTTAATTGAATGAGTTTAGTGGCCTCACATTTAAAGTGGCAGTGGTCTGGAGTGGCACTGGTATGTACCACTACCACTAAACTATTTTTTTTTTTAAAAAAATTAGAAATGGGACTGGCAAGAAATATCTTACCTAGCCTCTTTTCTGGATGTTGACATTTATTCACCTGTGACTCAGTTGCGATGCTATAGGAAACCAGTAGATAAATATATGATGAACACTGCTTTCAAAATTGTGGGAGTTCAAATATTTGGTTGTTCTGATGGTGGAAATGGCTTCATCTGAAGCGTTCTTCCTTTCTGTTTCAGGGTCAACCAGGACAGAAAGGGGAGATGGTAATTACCTTCATATCTTTATCATGTATTGGGTGGAGTTTATAAGCTTTTGAGCTCATGAAAAGGTGGGAACTGCAGAGAGGAAGTGTATGTTCCTTTTTCCAACTATGTGAGATTACAGTGGTGCCTCGCTTAACAACGATAATCCATTCCTGGAAAATCACCGTTAAGTGAAAACATCGTAAAGCGGAAAAAAAATCCCCATTGAAATGCATTGAAACTCATGCAATGCGTTCCAATGGGGTAAAAACTCACCGTCCAGCGAAGATCCTCCATACGGCGGCCATTTTCGCTGCCTGTATAGGTAGGAATCTGTCCCTAAACCCAGCAAGGAGCCATTTTATTTACCCGGTGGCCATTTTGAAACCGCCGATCAGCTGTTCTAAAAACGTCATTTTGCGAAGAATCGGTTCCTGAAGCAAAATTCCCCTATTTAGACCATCGTTTTGCGATCGCAAAAAGATCATTGTTAAGCAGATTCGTCATAATGCTGGGCAATCGTAAAGCGAGGCACCACTGTACTTCTGGAATAGATCTCCTCCTCTTTGATAAAAGTGCTTTATGCTGGGATTATTATTATTATTTTTAATTCCCAGCATGTTTAATTTTGGATGGCTTATTCAGGCATCCATATGGCCAGTTCATGCTGTAGTCACCAAGCAGTAGAAATGAAGGTGTGAATCAGCTCATGATTGTTGGGCTCAATATTAAACTTTCCTATAGTCCCACTGATAGTAGTTGTGCAGGCTTTCATTAGTTTTATGAAGCTAGATAAACATGAAGCTTTACAAAGCTTTGACTTAACTTTGGGCTGGTAGGTTTTTGTTTTTTGCACTTTGAGGTGTCTGTTCTTGTGACTATTTTCTTAAGCTTGTTTTGGGTTTGAGTTACACTTAAACAATTTAGCTCTACAGTGGGGTCTCTACTTAAGAACGTCCCTACTTAAGAACAATCCAACTTAAGAACAGCTCCATTTGCTAAATTTTGCTTCTACTTGAGAACAGAATTAAGCTTGTTTTGGGTTTGAGCTACACTTGAACAATTTAGCTCTAGTGACAACAATGAGAGTTTTGCTAATGACTTCAATATAGAGTTGTAGCGATCTCTTGAATTCAGAGGGAATGATTGCCTCCGAGATAATAGTTAGGAGCCTCAAACCTCTTCACTCCTCACTCTTGAAAAGGTTTGCTGTGACACAGGAAACAGTTGAAGACATGTGGTGAAACAATGGCAGCTTTGCTTTGGATTCCCCACTTAATGCTTATCCTGTGGGAATGTTAATGAATATCCCAGTAAATTTGTTTAAACAGCAGCCAGTTCATTTTCTGGTTGGGCTTGGAAGCAAATGTTAATGAAAAATAATTCTGTATATTGGGGAAATTTTGAGTCATCAGAATCTAAAAATATTGTGTGTATCCTGTTAATTGAGGCAGGTTTTTGTCCATAACATGAAAATGTTCTTATAACATGAACATATACATAATAGGAAACCATGAGCATGTCATTTCATCCCATATTTCCAGAAAAACAGGGCGAGGAAAAATATATAGTTGATTTAGACAAACAGAATGGAGGCATGAGAAGTTGTGTTTTCCAGATTGACTTTATTTCTTAACCTTAAATATTTGTCAGGGGACCCGTGAGGTTTTGAAAATTGACTATTTACAAAATGATTCAAGTCAGTAACTTGGAAAGCATACTTAGTAATAGCCAACTGAAGGCCATTTAGTCTGTCTTGCCTGTAACTGGACACACTTTCCCATGCTTGATTCCTAGTCCATAAATTCTCTCCACCTTGTTAATTCTGCTGCCACCCTGTGTGTTTTGGCCTGTTCCAGCTAAGTATCTCATTTCAGTGTATGGTTGAATTATCGGTGCAGTTACAGCTATGCCTTCGGTTTCAGTGGAGCCAGAATATTACCCTGTGTCTAAAACAGAGTGAACCACAGGATATAATGTGTACTTCTCTTCCTCTCTGAATTAATGAAATAATCCCACCCTACAATCTATCAAATACAATGGCCTGTGGCCTGGCAAACGTCTGCTTCACTTGGCACAAAGCCTGTAGAATTCTAATTTAACTCAACTGTTCAAATTAATTGTCAGTCTGCTTCCCCTTATTCTGTTCATGTAGTACCTTTTCACTTCCGTGTTACTTGTTCCAGGCAGAAACTGGAATCTTTAAAGAGATGTGTTTTCTAACTGAACATGAGTTTTTCTTTTCATCTGAACCTGGGATGAAGCATGTAAAATGTGTGATCCTCTAAAACAAGCAAAGCCATTCAACCGTGTGACATGTACCTCCCAGATGTCTGGCAAACTAAAACATTTTTGCAGTCCCTGGCAGGTGCCATGGAAAGACTGATGGGGCTGTTGGTGGTCTGTGTTCAGTTTGGTGGGTCACTAGCAGGATATGTCTGGATAGGGCATATTTCCGATGTATTCCAAGTATTAGAGAAGGAAAGAAAATACCGTATTTTTCGCTCCATAAGACGCACCTTTTCATAAAGGTGCGTCTTATGGAGCGCACCCTCCTCTTTAGGAGAAGAAAACAGGAAAATATAATCTGTTTTCTTCGCTCCATAAGACGCACAGACTTTCCACCCCCCCTGTTTTGTGGGGAAAAGTGCGTCTTATGGTGCGAAAAATACGGTATGCTAGGGAGATGTAAAATAGGCTCCATTCCGTTTATGTTTCTATCTCAACTTTTGGAGAATTATTTTCTTAGTGTGTGTTGGAGATACAATGTGCCATGTCATCCATACAGGATCTTTGTGAATATCTCTTCCCAGAGATGATCTAGAGTTTCTCTTTTAAGAAACTGTTAAGTGTGTCGGTTGTTGCTGGTATTTTTTTAAGTGAGAGCAGAGCAGATTTCACACTTGTCATTCACAGCCTCTGCCATCAGCATCTTAAGATCTGAATCCCCCCTCTCCCTTGCAAAATTTATAGGCTACGTTAGTCTTATTTTTTTTGCATAGGGGAAAGTTATTACTCATGTTAATGCAACAACTGAGAAGAGAGTATTGTTGTTTTAAAAAATACTGTAGTATCATGTTTGTCAGTCCATGGCAGTAGTGTCAGTAGGGAGCAGCCTCTCATAATAGGGGCTGCACATGTTGTAAGTACCTTTTAATTGTTAACCTTCCCCTTGTGTAGAAAGACCTTTGCCATAGACTTTGTACTGTATATAATATGTATACATCTGTAATGACTGAATTATCACTTGCTGTTGGGAAGATCCAATGTATACCTGAAAAGTGAATGGCTGCAGTGGATGAGGATAATTGAAGCAGGGCTATTAGGCCTAAAATCAATGTTTCATCCTACTGAGTCACTAGAATTTACACAAATGTAAATTCTAAAGCTATCCCATTAACTCACTGAAACTTACCTAAGTGTCAGTTCAGTGGACCTACTGTGGTTTGGACTTGCAGTTAGGCTTAGGTCATCACATGGATGCACCCAGTGTGGAAAAACTTCATCTTACCTCTCAATAGGAAAGATGCACTGACAATTCTTATTTTGAGGTCATGTTGAAACCACACCTGTTTTTGCAAGCCATGTCGGTAGAGTTCAGGCTATTATAGATTATGGATAATCCAGATTATTTTTCATATTGACTTTATGTATTGTATATTTTATGATTATTGAACTCAGCTTTTAAATATTTAAATAATTAATCACAAAGGAGCTAGTCCCTATTGCCTAACAGTTTTTGCAAGATAATGCACCTTGTGCTGCCATATTTGTCACAATGCTCATATTGATGTTCACTCAATATTCACTTTTTCCCCCATAAAAGGGTCCAGTTGGTCCCAAAGGGCAGGCAGTAAGTAATTCTCCTAACACATATTTTTGGGCATTTTTCATCATCTTCATTGTATAAGCAACATTGATGCTTATTTGTCTTATTTTCTGTAGGGATCTCCAGGACAAAAAGGAGAAAAGGTAAGATTAAAAACAGATTCTATGAGCACATTTTGATTCACTTTAGTCCAGAAACTGGAAACTGAAATGATCTGGAGCTCCCGGATTGTTTCAGATTGCATAGCTGCTTTTCAAAAGAACATTCTCTTCACTAACTTGAATCCATAAGCAAAGCCATGCACGTTTTTATTCCTATTCCGCTCTGCAAATCAGGAAAATACTGATTGCGGAAAAGTGAAGGAGTGAAAGTTAAATGGACAGATTTGATGTTATTTGAGTCTGCATTACTCCAAATATACCAACCAATAATGAGGAATCAATATAATATTTTTGAAAGGAAACGGAGCCCAGTTGTTTAAAATGTGTAATAAAAATGCATGGGATATTCCAGTAGAGAGAGCAGGCAAACCAGCTTTAGCCCAGCTGAAGTGGATGCAGTTGTGCCAGCCATGCACCTGCTATGAACCTGTCTCCTGGAGTCTATTTTGGTTTATGGCATTCATGATTTAAACCATTTTCTTTTTAATCCTTCCTTTTTTGCAGGGTCAATGCGGAGATTATCCACACAGGGTGAGCAGATTCTTCTGTTATTTTAAAGTGACCTCTGTGTATCCATCCCTGTTTATTGGAATGGCTCTTATGGAACTACAGAACATACCAGTTCATAAGTTCCTGCCGTCCTCTCTCCACCCCATTCTAGAGATATTGTATTACCTGCCTTAATGTACTGGCAAAGAAAATACATAGTTTTCCAGGAGGAAAATCACATGCTGATTTAACCATCCTATGTTTTGGGAGTTTTAAAATAAAGACTGGGATTTTGCCAGCCCACAACTGACAGTGTGCCATGGGAAAAGACAAAAGGGCTTGACAAAAGGGTAGGTAGGAAAAATCCTTTTAGGTGAATAAAGCTAGAACACATCACCTCCATGTATGTGTGAGAAAAGGGGGAGACCATTCTTCCATAAAGGAAACAAAGTCTGACTGTCAGTAGAAGCCCCTTTCTAGGACAATTGCAGTTCACATTTTCATGTTTCATGGATTTCAGTCAGTTCTTTGTACTTCTTAGCTGCCAGAATTTCAGATGGAGGGCATTTTGTGAATAAATTCACTAAGAATAATAGCCTTCGCTGTACCTGTGGGCAGCAAGCTAGCTTGAAGGGTGTGATACAGCTTGTCCAAGTGAGAGCAGGGTTCAAGAGGATCAGGTAGGATAATGGGTGAACTGCAGCTGCTGTCCATTCCCAGCTTGTGTTGCCTGAAATAGCTGCCTTACTCTTTCTAAAGGTAGGGTTAGCCGCTGACCAAAAAGAAGAAGCAGTGTGAACATCTCAGGCTGTTGTAATGGAGGACTTTTAGTATCATCACTGGCATTATTTTCTCACAGGCTGCTCTCAGATCTAGGGGATTCACAGACAGACTAAGATGGAGACATTCTGACAAAACTTTGCCATGGTAATATCTGTTGAACCTTCCTTCACTGTGCTAATTCACACCTCCTCCTCCTCATTTCTTGGGGTGAAGAATGTTTCCAGGCCCAATGTTTAATTTAGACATTTTATATATATATAAAATTGGAAATTGTGACTGTCCCACCAAAAATTCTAGTTAGAATGAAAACCCAAGATGCCTTGTTCTGCAAATTTCAAATATCATAAATCCTTCAATATTACTTGTTATAGTCATTGTTAAATTACCAATGGCCTACCTGATAAACTTTCTTAATGGGTATTAGAGGCGAACATGAACACATTTATTTATTTTATTTTATTTTATTTATACCCCACCTATCTGGTCATTGAAATTTCATTTCTTTCCTTCAGAATAACCAAAGTCCTTCTTTTTTAAAGCAAAATAAATAATATAGAGATAGTGTTATTGTTTATTTTTGAATACGGCCTGGGTTACCCTTCCTGTCTGTCGCCAGCAAAACCAGAGCTGAAAATCCAACTCTGCTGTTCTATAGTACCCATAGTCCCTCTGTTGGGCAACAAATTAGGAAAGCCGATACTGTTCTTTCAGTGGAGGAAATGAACACATCAAGAGATTATGCCTGTGTTATACAATACAAGCCTCAAGGACAGATGAGGTAAGCAAAACAGGTAAAAAAAAGGCAACAGTTGCAAGTATAGGGCTGGGCTGAGAATGGAAGATGAATTGCTGACTAGACTTAGGGCAGCAGTGTTCATTTCGTGGTTGACAGTACAGTGCAATGAACTGAACCCACTTTGTGTCATTGCCCCCCTAGGAGTACCTAAGTACCACACTTGCAGCTCTGCGTTCTAATCAGATCCTTACACTGAAGGTTTGTGGGGAGATTGTCTCATTGCTGTCAGTCCTGTTGCAAAAGAACGAGGAGGTGGATCCAATATTGCACACTTGTAGCAAGAAAATCCCAGTAACATGTTGGAGGACAATAATGATGGAAGGGGAAGTGTATTTATAATACACGTCTGATAAGTAACTAACGTACTTCAGATTTTCTAAAGGAAAAAAAACAATTGTAGAGCTTTCTGTATCATAATGATTTATTTATTTATTTATTTATTGAATTTATACCCCGCCCATCTAGTCAACTGACTACTCTAGGCGGCTAAAAACATATAATATAAACAATTTAAAATATAAAAACAAAGTAACACATCAATAGACAGTACTTAAGATGGAAGAAAAACATAAATCAAGTAATCTGATAAGTGACTAACGCACTTCAGATTTTCTAAAGGAAAAAAACAATTGTAGAGCTCTCTGTATCATAATGATGGCAGCTAAATGGTTCTCTTTCTGAGACTAGTAAAATGGCAGGCCTTGTAAAGTCCCTCATCTATTTTATGGCAGCTAAATGTTTCTCTTTCTGACACTAGTAAATGGCAGGCCTTGTAAAGTCCCTCATCTGACACTGATCTCTTTTTACAATGTAAACACAAGTATTCTGTACAAAATCTATGAGCCTTTCGTAAAGGGAGATAGAAGCACATGTGTAAAATTATAGTACATGTCCCTTTAAAATTCCTGGCACTTGATCTCTTTAAAGGATCTTTCATGATCACTCCCTTCACAGGTTGAGAAGCTCGAAAATTTGAGTCAGATGCAGAGGGAGAACCTGTCTTACATTCAAATCAGTAATTTTCAGATATGTTGAAAAAAAAAATAAACAGCGTGATACCCAGATACAAACATACTCAATACATATAAACAACCCACTTGCATACTTCAAATGGATGTCTACTGAGTTCAAAATAAATGGTAAATAGTTCTCTGTTAACTGTAGCTGCAATTGTGGTGTTTTATCGAGGAAATGAGCATCTTTTACCAACCCAATGAAAAGAGTGGAAGACAGAGAGAGAAATAAATTGCAGTACTATCAAATTCTTCCTCATATTTTTTAGCTTTCCAACATTTGTTTATGAATAGAATTTAAATGTTATAAATGATAGAGTCCAGTCTGCCTTTGCGAGACTGAAGGGCATTTCAAAGTCTTGCCATTGCCCTATTGCTCTGCAGTTTAACCAGAACCCGTGTAAGACACACTATTTTAAACATTCATTTGGCTTCATCAGTTCATCTTAAGGACTGCAAGGATCACAGTGACTTTTCTGTGATGTACTGATTTCACCCCTTTGCAGTCTTTGGGTCTGCTGCTAATTGTGGGCTTCCTAATTCTAGCTTTGCTCTTCCAATTTACAACCACCGCCTAAGTCTCTATTTTTAGCCAACAGCCAGAAAGGCTGGGTGGCAATGCTGCAATATTGTGATGGCATTTCAGTTTGCAACAGGACTGGACCACAGCTTTGCAATAAGGAGCAAGCAAACAGAAGGGAAAGAAACTTTCTCGAGTGTACACAGCCACTGTCATGGGAGACCTGTAGGCACACCTCTCTGCCACTAGTGAGATATTACAGGCACATTTCTGAGCATGACCAACACTTGGTTGTTCTTGTGTTTATTCCAGTGAAAATAAAAAAAATTAAGAATGAGCATGTGCAGCAGCTGGAACAGGGCAGTGAACATTGTGCTGGTAACAGAGCACAAATACATATGGTTTATGAGCCATTTTTGTAAGCGGATGTGGAGTCCTTTAGGACTTTTCATTTAAAATAGACAAGCATAGAGACAGCTATGGGGAAACAAGCTGACATGCACACAAGGCAGAATGCCACAGACCAATAGTTCCCAAACCTGGATAATCCTGGTGTTCTTGGGCCACAACTCCCAGAAAGCCCAGCCAGCATATCTGGTGGCAGAGGCTTCTGGGAATTGCAGTCCAAGAATACCTGGGTTACCCGAGGTTGGGAACCATTACCATAGAGAGTATCTTGGAATGATGTTGAGGAAAAAATGCATATCATGAAGCAACAGCAGTAGCCTTAGATAGGTAGTTAGGTAAACAAGCAAGCAAGCAAAATATATGCTACACAAGATGGGTGAATTTTGAGATAATCTCCTATAGTATAATATGACAGGAACTGAATTCATTGCTTACTGGAGTTCTTTACATTAATCAGCCATTTAAACCCCTTTCAGCCATTAAAACAATATCATTTTATTCACTCTTCAAGTTTAAAAAAGCAGGGATACACTACTATAGTGACTGAATAGTCCTTCCCAATAAGGAGGGTAATAGGTCCAGTGATACAAAGCAGAACCTATATAAGGGATAAACAAAGCATGTATCAATTTGTTCTTGAAGGCTTTCTTGGCTGGGATCTGATGGTTGTTGCTGGGATTTTCAGACTGTTTGGCCATGTTCTGGAACATGGCCAAACAGTCCAAAAAAACCCATAACAACCAAAGCATGTATCCTTTTTATTTTTCATTAAGACTGAGTAGAATCAGGTAGCCATTTTTACTTCTAAATATTCCAGATTATTTAATCAGGAAATATTTTAAAAATCCACATCCTGAAGAACAGAACCACAGCAAATCATAGGTGCTCCAGAGATCCCCACCATAGTGCATTTCCTATTATTCAAATGGAATATAAAAGCAGCTCAGAGGTTTGCCAAGAGGTATCCGATGACAGATGCTTTTTTCCGATGCTCTACATTCTCGCCTCTGAACTATGATTCACTTCCACAACATCTTTTCATGGTTTTCCTTTTTCCATTCTTTCCATCTTCTTCATTGGCTGATCTGTATGACTTTTGATGCCCTACTGACCTTCTTTGCCTTGTGACCTTTGGCCCTTGTCCTGTGACCTCCTGGTTCCATCTTCTCCAGCTGTTGCCTCTTCTCAATTCAGTGCGGCTGGCTCCACCTCCAGTCATAAAGAGACGCACCTTCCAGGTATCCTTCTTTTCCTGGTTTAAGCCTTTTTCCTTTTTTTCAAACTGGTGACTAATCAGTTCTTTTCTTTCTTAAAGAGGGTTTCATCAAAACTAGAAAAAAGCAAAACCATCTCTGGAGATTTGCTCACATTCCTTTGTATGGCAAATGCAAAGTAACAACAAGATTTGTGCAGAACGTATTTGAGAAATGGTTTACTTTTTCCTTCTCAGGAGAGAGTGAACATTTGACATGTTTGCAGCATTGTTGAATACCTGTGGGAGAACAGAATCAGTGCTTTTTACTGCAATAACATTTGCCATGATCTTATACATTATCATGGTACATCCATTCCTGCGATAAATTAAATATGTGATGCACATTTGTAGAATGTGATGCACATTTGCATCAAAACGAGTACAGCTTATTGGCCCTTTTTGGTGGCCCACTAGAGGCTCAACAAACTGGCTGAAACTTAATAAACAAGGAAGTTGTTAAACCAGGTGGTTGCTTTCATCTCCTTGGGTAACAAGTTTGCAATTCAGTCAAACTCTGAAGAACAGTCACCCATCTGTAAGCCCTTGTGTACATATCACCCAGAGATCAGATTGGCTATGCCTTGCCTGAGAGGATCCACTCTGAGTTTAGAGATGCACATGTATCCATCACAAAACAATGCAATCCTAGAGGTGTTTGCTGGGAGAGAAGTTGCATGTGATTGTTGGAGCTTACTCTAGCTCAGTAGGTATAGAGTTGTAGCCTTAAAGGCCAAAATCCTATGGTATAGTGACACTTGCAGAGGGCAAACAGCATCACTCATAGTGGCATACACCCAAAAAACTCAAGGGTGTCATTAGTTAATTAGCAGTGGGAAGCTGTTGCAAGAGTTTGGCTAACATATGTATTGAAATAAGTGTTGATTTTACTAAGATGGCATCGTCTTGATAAACACAACTGCCATATATTGACCCCATTCACCGAAATATTGACTGACACACTAAAGAGATTATATCAAAAAAGAGTAATGCGACATCTATTGACAGCCTCTGCTGTTCTTTAGCAGTAACTATGGTACTTTGGATTAAAGCAGTGAAACGAGTTAGTTTGTGTATTTGCAGAGATGTATAGGTGTGTCTTTAGCAAATACCAGCTCAGCTATCGCATCTTGCACACAGCGTTCCCTTCTGCGCACTTGTTTTGTTTGGGGACAGTATTATGTGTGTTTCAGTGGATGAGTGCAGATGGTTCATCTCTGCAAGAGTACTCTTACAGTGAAGTGTCAACCCACACAAAGCCTTTTGTTTCAGAAGCAGTATCATCTGCTTATCCTGGAATGGTCCTCTAGGATTCATCTGGAATGTGACTGGATGTAGGGCAGAGATCAAACACTGTGCTTTATCAGATGTCACATGCTATTTTTAATCAGCTACATGCTTTCTTAAAATTTTGCTAAGGATTAAGTAGCTTCATTATGTATGGAATGAATATTCTGCTTAGGATCACAAAAATTACCTCATACAACAGCTTTGGTATTATATAAAAAACTGTATGCATGTCAACAAAAGTAATCAGAACAAGTCAGCTGTAGCTGAATCCCACTGAAATAAATTAGATCAATCAGTCAACACAATTACCTTAGTGCATTGATTTCAAGCATGACCAAATCTCTCTTGATATAGGATGCTAATTGTTATCCAATGAATGTTGTTGCTACCTACCAGGATATGGGGGGGGGGGGATCAAAGAACACTGATTGTAGCTAATCTTTCTGCACTTCTGTTGCATTCTTTCGGATACAAGGTCAACAGTGAATTAAGATAAATCTGACAGAAAATTTAAAAATTGAAGTATTTCCTGAAAAATCAAAGGAAGATACAGAATATTATCAAACATGGAACTGTTTTTTTAATGGTTAGAAGCACGATGTATAGATTAAGAGCTTATTATGTATTGTAGTTGTATTTACAAATGATTATAAGCTGAATTCAGATGACATGATGTTAAATAAGCATGGATGGATTTTATAAACCATAATAATAATAAAAAGGAAAAAAATCAAAGTGTTTCAGATAGAAACAGGAGCAAAAGAATAAATAGCAGGGATTTTACAGTTCCAAAGACAAAAGAAAGACAAGTAACAGTGAAGGGTTGTGTATGAGATGGAAAAGAAGTTTATCACACCTCTTCTGGGTTTTATTTATTAGAAGCACCTCTGACCCAGTTGATGAATGGCACACCCATGGTACTCTGATAAGAAGAGATGGGGGTATTCCTATACGAATATCGCCCTTACGGATGCAGATCACTGTTCCACTGCTGCCGCATGCTCCACGCTCCCTTCCTATCGCTCCGGAGCTCGAGGTGGATTAGCCACTCCTGGCAGAAGGTGGGATGATGAGCCTCTCTGCCAGGTCGCAGAGTAGCTAATCCATCACAAGCAATGGAGAGATGGGAAGGCACCGTGGAGCTTGCGGCAGTGGCAGAATCGTGAGTGGTCGGTCTGGCCCCAAGGGGCCGAACCCTCATTGTCTGCACCTGTGTGGGGGATATTTTTATTTGTATACAAATAGCCCCATCTCTGCTGATAAGCCATTTTGAACAGGGAAGAAACATTTTCATTTGGACAATTCAGAGGGGAGAACTAGTTGTCAGAGAGGGGGTGCTTCTCCATTCCCTGCCTGCTCTTTTCGCAACCCAGGTCACCCAAACAGTATTTACCAAGCAACAAAATTTCAAAAGGGTTTTTGCACAATAGATGTGTCCCTGCCTGTTTTCCTCTCTTCCTGCTTACTTGAGAAGTTCCCCCTTCTCTTCAAAAATTAGCCTGCTGTGACACAGACACAGGGGTATAACATTCAGCTTGGCCCTAAAAAGATTAACCGGATTCATTGGGTTCATTGGTTGGATTTCAGTGGGCAGGGTTGAATACTTACTTTTCCCATCTTAAAATGCAATGACCTTTTGATGGGAAGCCATTAAGAAATCCAGACAAAAAGTCCATCCCCACTTGCCTCTGTCTGAGTTTTGGAAACCCCCTTCAGGTACTTACTAACAGCAATTTGCTTGGCTTGGCTTCTTCCTTTGCTCAGGCTCCGCTTGCTACAGATCACACTCCTGTGTCATTGTGTTACACTGGTGATAATGTTCTTCTCCATAAAACCTCAGGGTGAACAAGGACAGGCAGGAATCCAAGGGCCTCCAGGGCCACCTGGACCACCGGGCCTCCCAGGGACTCCAGGGCCACTTGGCCCAACTGGACCAGCTGTAAGTCTCTTTTTATTTGCTTGTATCTCCTCTACTTTCTTCTGCTCTCTGAATAATACATTATTCCCCTTCCGCATTCATGACTATTTAGTCATGATGGTGTATCAAAGCCTTTGTTATCTTCTCTCATATGTCTGTGATAAGAGTTACAGAGAAATGCTGTTTTCTCTACCCCAGTCTGTGCAAAGGGCCATGGTAAGGAAATCACACCCTGGTTTTAATTATCTGATCGGAAGCCCAAGTTTTTATAGCCCCTAAAATCTCTTTGATGGTCAGCTCACAGTGCCATTTCTAGGAGGCAGCAAGCCTTTTTTTAATGATGGAAAATATCATCCCATTAAAATCCAAGTACCAAGCTAGTATTTCAGAAAGGCATATTTCTTTCTTGTCCTAGGGGAAAGCAGGAGAACCAGGGAAGCCAGGCAAGGATGGAAAGGTACCTCTTTGATTTTATACATCCTGCACAAAAATAATTCATCTCTCAGTATCTGAAAAAAATAACCGTTGCCTAATGCATGCATGTTCAACTGTGATGCATAGCTGTATGGATTAATGAGAAAGAGCTATGCAGATTTGTTTTGGGTTTTTTTTGGGAGGGGGGTTAATATTCCTAGAATTCCCCAGACTTTTGAGGAGTTCTCTGAGTTGCCATCCAAAAGCAGAAATTTGCTCACCTCTAAAGTGTACTGATCATTCCCTGACCATATTTCTTCCAACATAATTTGAGTGTGGTCTACCTAGTAGCCAGGTGTGATGGAATTATCGACTTGGGAAATATGAAATTAAGTTATTGAATACGTTTTTCATTTCTGTGAGTTTGTGAGAAATGGACCCAACCATGAAGAGGTCAGTATGTAAAGTTTTTTCACACCTCCCAACTGCTCTCTGCTTGATTGGAAACTTCAAAGAATATACTGTATTCCTATCCCTACATCAAAGGAAGGGTATCTTCCATACTTCTCTTTTATCAGAATACACCTTAAAGCCAGGAACTCTCACACCTTAAGTGTGATTCTTGGTTTGACAGAAAGTTTTTGGCACTTCTTTGCCAAAAACCCATGTGAATTTGGCTGTGAAAAAGGAAAGCCACCTTTTGTCCTGAGGGGACTTGAAAGGGATTGAGTGATTACCAGCAGCAGGTGGGGTGATCTGTATAAAAAGGATTAGGGAAAGTAGAAAGGCTGCTGGCATCATCTTAGGAGACCATGCTTTCCTCCCCTGCTGCTGGAGGGGATTCAGTCTGACTCTTGAGTAGACTAAGGGTCTTTTTACAGTTGTAAGATACTGTGCCATGGAAATGCAATCAGTGAACGCCTCAGAACTATGCTATCTCTCCATTAAGACTTGGTTATTAGATAGGATAGTTTGGCATTATTTTCTAGTATGTTCTTGACTGAATGAATTGCCTTTTCTCCTGTAATCCTGAACAATCCTGTCTTTGCAACTGTTTGGAACTTTCCCACTTTTTTCTTTTTATAAACTGATTTATTTCTCTCTCTTTAATAAAATATAAACCTCCTTTCAACTAGAGCTAAAATATATATTTTAAATAAATTTGAAATTGAGCAAAAGACCAGAATTTAGAAGGCAGAGGTTGATAGTAGCAAGAGATAGCCATGCTAGTGTGTTTCAGCATCCATAGTGGAAATAAAACAATTGGCATTTTTTTTCCATCTTGAAGACGAATTGATATATTTCAGTGTGAGCTTTCACAAATTATAATGCACTCGACCATACACAAAGGACAACAGTAATTTAGGCCACTGGTTTATGTAGATCATCAGATCGTCACCATGATTGTATGAAGGATACAGACACAGGTAATGAACTTTTAAAGTGACAACAGCAAAAGAAATGAGCTGCCAAAGGGTTGATTACATGAAGATCCTCACAATGGTTCAGGAAGAAGTTGATTCTTCTTTAATCAACAGTGATTCTGGGTGCACAATACGTTTGTCATAATACACATTGTTTGGAGGAACAAAGTATCATAAAATAAAGGAAGTGTGCTCACTCCAGTAGATGTGAGTGCATATTGAACGTGGGTCTAGTATGCATTTGTTACATACAGCACTGATGTTACCTGTCTGTCATGGGTTTGGAGGGAAATAATCAACAGTGATTCTGGGTGCACAATACGTTTGTCATAATACACATTGTTTGGAGGACCAAAGTATCATAAAATAAAGGAAGTGTGCTCACTCCAGTAGCTGTGAGTGCATATTGAACGTGGGTCTTGTATGCATTTACTTGCTATTGAGAATAAGTCGTACAGTCTGACTTTTATGAAGTTATACACGTCTGTGTGACTTCTTATAGGGAATGGTTGGTGGCAGCTTAGTGTAACTGTGTGACATATCCCAGTAGGTCTGGGTTTGTCACAGCATTTACTTGCTATTGAGAATAAGTTGTACAGTCTGACTTTTATGAAGTTATACACTTCTATCAACAGGGCTTGCCAGGATCTCCTGGACCCAAGGTGAGTAAAGCAAAAAATGCTAAATACTGTAACTGCCCTACCCCGTTTCAATTCTTTTTTTCAGTGAACATTTGCAATATACAAAGAGCTGAGAGGTGAGATGTAAGTATAAGCTGAGTTTGGAAAACTACTTTAAAAAGTAGCTGATTTCCATTTAAAAAAAAAAAAAGTTCTTTTAGACACAGTGTGGTGCTATTACCCATTAAAATGGTTTTGGGGGGATATCAGAGATATGACCATGTTAATCTGTTTCAGATTAACAGATTTATTTCAATGTGATCTTTTGTGGATCAAAATCCATTTCTTCAGACACTGAAGAAGTGGATGTTGATCCATGAAACATCACATTGAAATAAATCTGGCATTCTTAAAGCGCCACAATATTTCTTTTCTTTTCCCCCTTTTCTTTTGCCAAAAGTGTTTGAAAAATAGCTCATAGCAATTGCTTGCTATGTTACCATGCCTTTCTTTTTTGGCGGGCGGGTGGGAATTGATTGATGAGAATGCCTTAAAATTAGAGGTGAGTGCCGTAACACAGACTGACCTTTTAAAATAACTTTTACAAGTATATTTTTAAGGTAAAAAAACTGGGGAGGTGTGCCCTATATCCATGCTCATTTCATTGGCTGAAATCCTGTAATGACATCATCAGCAGTGACAAATTACAGCTGATTAAAAGCTTTCTTTCAGTCAACAATCCAAATGGAGATTGCAGCCAAGAAATCAGAAGATTGAGACTCAGAAGGGTAATGAAGGAATTAGAAAACAGAATTAACTTTAAAGATGTGTCACTAAAACCAAGGCCAAGATTACCCACACAATTGTATTCCTGATTGCTATGTATAGGTGTGAACTTGACAGTGAAGAAAGCCGACAGAGGGAAAAAAGACCACTAGAAAGATAAACAAGTGGGTCCTAGATCAAATCAAGCTTCAGCTTTCTCGGAAGCAAAAATGATGAAACTGAGACTGCCATACTTTGCGCACATTATGGAAAGGCAGGACTCACTGGAAAAGACAATGCAAGAAAAAGCTGAAGGCAGCAGAAAAACAGGAAGACCAAATATGAGATGGATCAGCTCCCTAAAGAAAGGAACAGGCTTGGGTTTGCAAGAGCTAACCAGGTCTGTTGAGGTCAGGACATTTTGGAGGCGACTCACGCATAGGGTTGCCATAAATCAGAGGCAACGTGGTAGCAGGTAACAACAACAAATAACAACAGAAGGCTTTCTTTGATGGGTTTGGGATGCACGTGACCCATACACACTGTAACAAAGTTGTGTGCGGCTTGAAATTGCCAAAGGAAGCCTTTAATCAGGGGTGATTTGCCACTGTTGAGGACATCATTCCCATGGCACACGTAGAGCTACACAACAGGATTTCAGCCATTGTATTAATGTGCTCATTTGTGTGGTGTTTTTTTTATGTAACAAGAGGTGACATTGGGCTTACTCACATCCTTTCCTCCACATAAAGCCAGTTGTGAAGATCAAGGTGAAACCTTGATCATGTCAACAAAGATCCAATCAGAGGTGACTTGCAGGTATGACAGATGCTTGCAAGAGAACAGTATACTACTTTCTCTTCTACTAGAATGGAAAGGAATGTAGATTAGAACATGGTTATCTTTGTTTCTTTACATAGAACAGCTCATTCCATTCCTCCAAAGACGGGTAAGGCAACTACACTCAATAAATGGCTACAAGGAGACCTGAAAAGCTTCAAGTGCCTGATAGAGTTAAACACCTTAAAGTGGATAAAAGTGACCTCATGGAATTCGTTCTGCATTCTTTCAGAATGTTGATTAAGATTGTTTGTATTTGTGTTCCAAAAGAAAAGATTTAATCTCTTTCCCCCACACCCTTCCACTTTCCTTTTTTAGGGAGAGCCTGGAGTTCAAGGATACCATGGAAGAAAGGTAAGAACAGCATATCTGAGAAGCACAGAACTTGAAAATAAAAGAAGCATAACAGTATTTTAAGTGCATTAAAGTGGGCCTGCGCCACCTGGACATGTGTTGGCAAAGATACACCCTCCTTGCCGTACTTATGGATGTATTCACAAGTGTATCCTGGGCATAGCACTTCTGTCATTTCCTGCTTGAGTAGTTTAGGCTAGGAGTAACTGGGACTGAAGTAAGTGTGACTTCCCTTGGGCTCTCTCATTCCTGATGGGTAGCATTTGTTATAAAAGGGTGGGACTGAAGATGGTTTCCATTTCTCAAGTATTTTAAATTTTCTTTGTTGCTTGGGACACCTTCTGCCAGGAGATTTTGGGTGGAACAAAGTTGGAAATCCTGGAAGATTTTAGAGCTTCCTGGCAAAAGAAATTGTTTTGCACTTACTTTTATGTGTGAAACACAGCTTTACCTACTCACCCACTCTGCCCTGTTTATGGGTTGAAGCCCCCAGCCCACTCACTGCAACCCAGTGTTAGGTTGCATGCAGGTTGAAGCCCCCAGCTCACTGCAACCCAGTGTTAGGTTGCATGCAAGACTATTTTCTCCAACAACATGTTTTCTGTGAAAATCATAGTTCCTGTTCTCATTAGTTATTTTCTCCAACAACATGTTTTTTGTGAAAATCATAGTTCCTGTTCTCATTAGATCTTCATTAACTAACAACTTCATCTTCCATGAGGCAGTGAAAATCATAGTCCCTTTGGACCCCGGCCTGATCTCTTGTTCACCTCCAGTATGTGAACAATTTATGTCTTCTTTTTCCAGTGAAAATTATGGTTTCTTCATTAGTTGCCCTGCCCATGCAATATTTACTTGTTCCATGGCTCCCCAAAGGACAGAGAAAGTCAGTGATACAGGGCTGTGTGGGTGTTTGCCAGGGAAGGGGCTATACATTCTTACAGGTGGTGATTCATCTGGCTGACTTTTTTTTAATTCAAAGAGAAGAAAATTATTTAATTTTGTCCTTAGAGAGAGGAGGCTTATGATGGAGAGTCACCAAAGGAGAGACTGGACCAGAATGTTGGGGTGACAGCTATGCTAAGACAAAATCATTTAAAACGACAAAGCACAACAGTCCAGTAACACTGTCCACGCAGTGTGGGAGACATAGTTTCAAAAGTGATTTAAAGCCTCTGGCAATTTCTAAAAGATTGGGCCAAGACTGGTGTGTGTGTGTGCCACAAGATAATATTTAGTGGTACAAAGGAAGAATCTGTAAATAATGGAGTGATAGGAATTAACGTTCGTATCACTTTGGAACTGTAGAAAAAGGGGTATTTGTAGATCTCTTATACCCAAAGCAACTATTGGTATCTGAGTCTTCTTCCATTTTCTTGCATCTTTTCTTTAGGGTGAGGCGGGTGAGGCTGGCTTACCAGGTGCCCCTGGCCTTCCTGGTCCTCCTGGCACAAAGGTAATTTTTAATGCAGTAATAATTTCTCATATTCTAAATCCCTCCGATTACTATTTCAGCCTATTAGAATCGAGATGTTTATACAACCCCTCCCAGATAAGATAGATGGGGTCATATCAGCAGCCTCTGCTGATGCACACATTGGACAAACCTGGACTGATCACTGGATTGACCATGTATTCAGCAAACTTCAGGAGTGGCCCTACACAAAGAGAGTCCTTTGCATAAGGGGAGAGAGATCCTGCGTCATGATCTTGCATAGCAGTTCTCTAGACTCGTAGGCAAATGCACGTGTAAGACGGTTCCTCTTGCTGACTAAAGGTACAGCTGGCAGAGTGTATGGCTGGTGTGCACGTCCTAGCAGGGGCACTGTTTGTGGGGTACAACCCTCCTCCCTATTGACATTTGAGCAGCGTTCATATAAATGCCCCTTTGAACACCCTTGTTTCTATGCAGATCACCAGGACATGGGAGGTAGATGCTAAGTGAAGGTGCATTTTATTTCTATGATAAACCTAGTAACAAAGACTGGGCTCCTGTATCTTGAAACAGGCAAGAAATAACTTGTGTATGGGGAAGATCTGTGAGGAAAGATTTAGCAGCTAAAGTTATCTTTTGTACATATCTGTTGTAGATACAAAAGGCATCCTTTCTTTGGTGTGCAGTGATAGGAGTTTGCAAAGTTGCTGTGTTTCAACATGCTTCAATATGCTAGGTACACGTTGGATCATTTTTAATTAAAGCACTGAGTTTTCTTCTGGATAGAACAGAGAAAAAACACCATTATTTGAAGAGTCATCTGAGGTTCATCTCAAATGTTTCTGTGGAGAAACAGACTTTGTTTGCATGGCAAATAGCAAGGCCACAAATCTTGCCTTCACTTATTCCGGTGAGCCACTCTGAGAATAGAACAAAATGCAATGCAGAACTTTGCAGTGCCCACAAAAATGATAGTCCATGTAGAGTTCTGCTCAGCCTCATAATTTTTGAAGCACAGAGCACTCTTTTTTGTGTTGTGATGTCATAAAATTGTGCATTTCCCAAGCTCCTTTATGACATTATCTGGCAGCGGTGGGAAAGTACACAACTTTCTTTAATATTGTGAGAATTAAGTGGGCAACTGGAGACTCTGGGTCCAACTTTATGTTACAGATAACATGTCACTAGAAGACGGAGCTGTTTAAAGGCTGACAGTTTGGGTTTTTTACAACAGGAGCTTGTCTCGCTACCTGTAATTCAGAAATTTACTTCCTGCATTTTGTGATTGTTCATTGTGCCATGTGTTCACTACTTTCCCTGTGTAAGTCTGATTTCTCACCTGCGAAAGTCAGCCATGAAAGAGAGAAAGAAAAGTTAAAGCAAAAGTAAGGTTCAATGAAAAATGTGTGTACCTTGACTTAATTACAATCCTCAAGAATCTTTAAGTAGCATCAAACCAAAATAAATCTGCTGTGAGGATATACCTTCTTCCTTTTTAAGTATTAAACATTCCTCCTTTAATAGTTAACCTTCTCTTTGTTGAAGCTTGCCCTCCACTTCTTGGGCATTGTCAAATAAAAGCTAGTCTTTCTTTTCTCTTCAGTTTCTCTCCTAGTATCCATATTATCTCTGTTTTTTGAAACAGATGTTCACGGTCCTCACAAAATTTGAAGAAAGCTGTCTCTACCCAAACCACTCCCTTCATTTTGTTTTTCAAGGAGATGGGATAAGACCTCCCTCTTGCCTGCTCACGTACTTTTCAGTTCATACATGGCATAATTTTACACCTTCTCAATTACGCGAGTCTGTGGCTGGAAAGTAAGCATCTCCCCATGCAAGGCTCAAGACAAATGTTCCTCTCCTCTCAAAGACCATTTGAAGATGGTAAGGTACCAGCCATCTTTGTCATAAACTATAGGTACATTTTTTTCCTTGTCTCACTATCACTGTGCTTAGCTTGTCGAAGTATGTAGGTAGAAATACTACTCTGGTTGAACAGAGGTTTACTGTGAGAGAAATGCCCTTCACAATCTTTAAGGGGTACTTCTGTTCTTCTAATCTCATATATTCTAGCACTGAATTTTAGCCCTAAAAACAGCTGGGTTTGCTACAAATTATACTCTGTACTTTTGACTCTGGTCAAGTATATTTTGTAGCACTCAGACAAACTAAAGCACAGTCCTAGAAAAGAAGGAAGGAAGAAAATTGACTGCAAGTTGATTTTTTAAGAAAACTACACTCCTATCCTTGCATATTTATCAAAAATCAACCTCTTTTACTTTCTATCTCTTTGCCATTAATAATCTATCACTTGATTTTGTAGCACTCAGACAAACTAAAGCACAGTCCTAGGAAAGAAGGAAGGAAGGAAATTGACTGCAAGTTGATTAAAAAAAAAACTACCAACCTCTTTTACTTTCTATCTCTTTGCCATTAATAATCCATCACTTGATGTTTCCATTGTTCTTGTTTCTACCTGTTTCCTGTCTTGTTCCTCCATTATTATCTCTGCATATCTTTTTCTTACTCAAGGTGAAAAGGGGGAACCTAGCATGATGGTAGGAATGGAAATACTTCTGTGTCCATTTGGTATGGTAGGAGATATTGTTACGCTGAAGAATGCATTGTTGTAAAAACTTTGGTCAAAGACAGACCTGTGGCCTATTTAATGGCATATACAGCTGGGTTGGGATGCAATTAACCACAAGCAGACACTCCAGGTACCAGTTCTATTATGTGCACACAGAGATGTAAGCAGTGAAATGTATCTTTATGAGCTCATTGGAACCTGACACTTAGCTTTTAAAAAAAAAAACTATTCAAACTGGTAGATGATTTCTTGCCATCCTGTATCTTCCAAGATGGGCTGAGGTTTCTTCATAATGTCTGGTTAACTGACACATCAAATCCCTTCCAAAGTCAACAGACCCTGATTGCTGAGGTTTTGCATACTCCCTTCTCTTCCTCCTCTTCTTCTTCTTCTGCTTAGGGCTCTTTAGAGAGGCTAACATGATTTCATGCCCATATGTTATTTGTTCGATTAAAATATATATTGAACCTATAAATTTTAGGTATATTACTATGCATTTTTCCCCCACAAAAAAAGTATTACAACCTTGGCCAGGATCCATGAAGACAAAGCAAGCTATGTAGAGCCATACAATTTAAATGTCTTAGGGGTTATTTCTCGTATTACTTAGTGGAAATGTGATGTAAAAATGGCTATGCGAATAGGTTTTCTTTTCAGTGTTCCTATCTGGATTTACTTAGACCAATATTAGTTTTCCAGCTTGTGCCGTGGGATGAAAATCTGACTCGTCATTTCCTCAATTTTAATCTTTTACATCTAAGCTATTCAAGGCATCTCCACCCCTGCGGACCTTTGTCCCTTGGTATTCATGCACCACAGAAATATATCTATTAAGATATTGGTAGGAATGAAAAATATTGCCACCATCTGATATGTAAAAAAACCAAAATGCATCTCCTTAAAACTGCTGCTCTACGCATTTGCCCAGTGTGGCTTAGAGATAAGAAATTTCAGTTAGATTTCAGAAAGGTCCATTCAAATTTTTATACCAATTAACAAATTTTAGACTTGTTTTACCTTTAAGTGTATGATAATACTAAGGTGAACAGTGAAACCTGCACTTGCCACAGATCTGCTGTATCTCAAGTGTGCACTATCTGACAGTGATTAGAGAACAGTTCTTGATACAATTGCTCTGCTAATATCTACATGGTATTAGGGTGGTACAGGCGCTACATGCTCCCACTGTCTCATCAGTGCTAACAAAATAGGGGACAGGTCCTCATACCACATGACTGTGCTGTGTCTTCAGAGGTCTTTGTTATAGTATCCCATCTCCTTCTCAGCCTCAGCATATTGGCCAAGGAATTACCTCACATGTTGACTTTGTAACAATGTGAGATAAATTGCTTTACAAGGTCTCCATGAAATACCGTATTTTTCGCTCCATAAGACGCACCTCCAAATAAGACGCACCTCATTTTTAGGAGAGGAAAACTGGAAAAAAATATTCTGGCAAATTCATAAGGCAGTAGCAATAGATAGATGTTGTCACATCAATTACCTCAAACTTCTTGCAGTGTACAACACAGTGAGAGCTTTTGAACAATTTGTAGTTGGCAAAGTTATTCCAATAGCCACAGACAACAACACTACAATGCTTTATATCAACCACCAAGGAGGAACAAAATCGGTGATAGCATATAAGACTTTGCTGACAATTAAAGGAGAAGCTTCTGAAGCCCTCCCAGCCATCATGATTGTTTCTTTATATACAGTGGGAGGCCTTCAGAAGATTTTCCTTTAATTGTTGAGAAATGTCTTATTTGCTGAATTTTGAATACAAGTAGCTTCCATTTTGTTTAATGTTCTTTTACCAAATTGCTGTGTGTGGAGTGTGTTACCGATTTTACATTACTCAGAGTGATTTGCACACATACTTTCCTGGTTTAATTAAATGAAGTGGAAATCAGCATTGCAGATGAGTGGTAAGGAAATACATTGTGGATGGCAAGAAAATTATTCCACTGTCTTTAGGGACTGCTTGTTTCCTTGAATTGTATAGGTTTCCTCAATTCACACCTTTTATAGGCCAGAATCACAGTCATACATACTAACTCATGCCAGATTCTAATCTTAGTTAATTTTTAAGTGCTTAATCAGCAGCAGGTCATGAGTTGCAGTCAGGGAGGTGGGAGGAGGTGTGATTTGCTGTGGAAAAGTGGTAATCGAGAGGAGGGTGTTTAATTGTTTCCTGGCCCTCCATTTTTCCTGCCCTCTCCCTCTTGAGCATACAAATGTTATTGGAAAACGAAACATGTCTTTTGAATATTTTTGTTTTATTTTACTATACTACTACTGATCGATTTTAAATTAATTTCAATTACAATTTTAATAGATTTTAATTATAATTTTAATTGATGTTTAAGTACTGAAAGTCCGCAGAAATACCACTGAATGATTCCCCAAAAGTGATGTTGTATTGAGTAAA